TTTCCTTTGTATTTTGGGTACTCTGAGGTGTGTGCGCATTCGTGTTTTTAGAGAAATTGGCAGTTGCACCTATTGCCTTGTGTTACAGGTACTTCTCTGTCTAAAAATGTAAATAACATACTGTTTTTTTAAAAACATTGAGTGAGGAAGCTGACACAGCTTTCCTTTGTATTTTGGGTACTCTGAGGTATGTGCGCATTCGTGTTTTTAGAGAAATTGGCAGTTGCACCTATTGCCTTATGTTACAGGTACTTCTCTGTATAAAAATGTAAATAACATACTGTTTTTTTAAAAACATTGAGTGAGGAAGCTGGCTCAGGTGATAAAGTACTTTCTGTTCAAGCAGAGGACCTGAGTTTGATCTCTCCAGCACCCATGTAGAAAAAGCTGAGCATGACTCACACCCAGTGCTGGGGAGGTGGAGGCAGGAGGATTCCTGGAGCTTGCTGACTAGCCCATCTGACCAGTCTGGTGAGCTCCAGGTTCAGTGAGACTGTCTCAAAAAATAAGGTGGTGGGCAGTAGAGAAAGATGACCTCAACCTATCCTCAGTGTGTGTGTGTATGTGTGTGTGTGTGTGTGTGTGTGTGTGTGTGTGTGTGTTGGGTGCAGGTTTTAGCTGGAGAGATGGCTCAGTAGTTAAGAGCTCTGGCTGCTCTTGCAGAGGACCTGGGTTCTGTTCCCAGCACCCACATGGCAGCTCACAACCCTCTCTATCTCCAGTTCCAGGGAATCCCGCGGCCTCTCCAGATATTGTACACACACAGAACACACACAAGCAGGCAAAACACTCATACACAAAATACAATGGGTTTTCCCTCAACTCTTCAGATAGTCTCTAGCTCCAGAAGCAGCTACTACACAGTTTTAGCTGTTCTGACATTTACTCACATCCATATTTATAAACTGTGTGTGAACCTCCATCCTTTGGGTTGTCAAGTTTAGCTTTTGTCTGTTAACTTTCTGTTTCAGTGAATGACAGCATAGGCTCTGTACAGCTTTCCCCTCTTCTGCTCCACCATCCCAGTAGTTATAATACAGCTTCTGGTTATATTACTATTTGTGTTTAAGTTATTCAATCCAATAAATTATTTGCAACTGAGCATAGTAGTGAATTATGACTGAATTTGGTCACCACAGCACCCATGTAGAAAAAGCTGAGCATAGCTCACACCCAGGGCTGGGGAGGGGAGGTGGACTCCACTTCCTGGTGGACCTTTTGGTTTTCTTGAAGTTATTACTTGCTTTGTGTTTATATTTGCCTTATTTTCTTTGTGACTGTTGTATCACTGTGCTTATAAGCTAATAAATATTTAAATACCTAGCTCTCCAAAAACTGAAAAAAGCCAGGCATGGTAGTAGACCTCTGTAATCCCAACACTGGGAGGTGGAGGCAGGAGAACCAGAAGTTCATGGTTATACTAACTACGAAATGAAGCCAGTCTAGACTCTGTGAGACGCAAAAAACAAAGCAAAACAGAAAACCCCAAGCAACCCACATTTGAAAAAGCAGTAATTTGAATTGTTTGTGGTGGTTGTGGTTTTTGTTTTTGTTTTTGTTGTTCCAGTGTTGGGGATTGACCCTAGGCAAGTGTTCTCCACTGGGCTGTAGTCTAGCCCTTATATTTGAAATTTTATTTCAAGTTGTCAATAGGAGATCATTGAACAAGGAATTGGGAGGAAATGTGCACAGTTGGTTCTTCTCGACCAGCTGTAGCATACTTCGAGCTATTTATTTCTTTTTTTAGTTTTATTATCTTAATTTTATATGTATGAGTATATTGCCTATGTGTGCGTAAGTGCACCCGTGTCGTACAGTGCACATGGGGGTCAGAAGGTGTTGGATTCCCCTGGAACTGGAGTTTGTAGCTGCCACATGGGTGCTGGGAATTGAATCTGGGTCCTCTACAAGAGCAGCCAGTGCTCTTAACTGCTGAGCCATCTCTCCAGTCCCTCTTCTGAGCTATTTCTAACTCCTACTCCTGCTACTACTCCTGCTAATGCTCACAGTGGGATTGTAGAACAATCTGCCTTGTTTTTTTGGTCTTTTTGAGACAGGGTCTCCCAATAGTCCCAGCTGGCCTGGAACTCACTATGTAGACCAGGCTGGCCTTGAACTTAGAGAGATCCACCTGCCTCTGCCTCCCAGGTGCTGGGATCAAAGCCGGCGCCACCACGCCCAGCTTTTTTTTTTTTTAATGATTTGTTTTGTAAGATAACATACTTAAACGTTTGAGTTCTCAGTTTCATTCCTCTCCTTTGAATTTGTGAAAATTTTTTTATTCATAGGCCTTGGGAGTCTTTGTGAGCAATTTTAGAGTAGAAGTGAGTTCTGACAGAAGGTTGCACAGACATGTGTAGATGTTATGGAGGGATCTGGGCATGGGGGCACATTGGTGGACTCATGCCAGGTGTATCCCTGCTAGGCTAACCAGTAGGCCTTTTTTGGTTTTTTGGTGTTTGTTTGTTTGTTTGTTTGTTGAGACAGTCTTCCTGTAGCTGCAGATGGCTGGAACTCTATGTAGACCAGGCTAGCCTCCATCTCACTGCAGACTGCCTCCCAAGTGCTGAGATTAAAAGCATATGACACGTGGACCTTTTTCCCTTTTTTTGTTTGTTTGCAGGCCTCTTTTTGAAGTGCTTGTTTGGTTTGACCCCTAGTCAGCTGGGGCCTTGCTCCACTTCCCTGGCTGGTATGACTACTGGTGTTTGGCACTTCAGCAATGCTCAGCACCACACAAGCCAAGCAAGGGCTAAAATGGCATCCTTTGGCGGCTGCTGCTGTGAAACTTGTCCATGGAGTTAAGAGTTGGCCACTTCCAGTAGCTGGGCCCTTGACTTTCTCCAGACTCTAACTTCTGGCCTGGGGAGGTATTTGAATCAGGGTAGGGTTCTGGTATCTGCAGAATCTGGTGAGTGAGCATCTTCTCTAGGCAACTCTAGGTTAACTGGGACACTGTGACTCCTGGTACTGGAATCCTCTGTGGCAGAGCCCAGTTTGTTGACATGCCCCTGCCCCAAGCATAGGTTGGAGGACTACCGATACTTCTCTCCATAACTGGTGCTCTGAGCTGTGTTTTGAGGTCATTCTAAGGGTCCCCTTACTTTTTGCCAAACAGCTTTTTCTTCTCCTGTATTGGTTCATGGCTAAGATTATGCAGCCCTGCATTCCACCATATAGCTTGTGAAAAACTCATATTTCAGCCGGGTGTGGTGATATACAGCTTTAATCCCAGCAGTCGGATCTCTGTAAGTTCCAGGCCAGCCTGGTCTACAAGTGAGTTCCAGGCCAATCAGGGCTACACAGTGAGACTCTGCCTTTAAAAAAAAAAAAATCACATTTCTAGTTCCTTTGTGTTTCTCTCCAGTTGCCCAAAATATTTGGACTTTTCTTTCTCTTTAAAAATCTCTATTCATTTTTAATGACAATTTGGTTAATATTGCAGACAACTTGTTTCAAATCACTAGTTGAACCCAAGTCCAAAATAACACTTTAGTAATTTTGAGTTTTATAGATGTCAGTGAGTCAGCCCTTATGAACTGCAGAGAAAAGTATTTGTACTACTAAACTTTCTGTAGTTGTGCAAAATACTTGTCACTTGAAAGGGTGGCTGGGGAGATGGTGGGTCAGTGGGTTAAGTGCTTGCTGTGCAAGCATGAGGACACCGCTCCAGATCCCCAGCACCCACATAAAAGCCAGGTGAGGGTGGTGACCTACCTATAATCCTTGTCCCAGGAGGTAGAGACAGGATCCCCAGGGCAAGATGGCTAGCTAGATTAGTTAAATTGGTGAATTCTAGGCTCAAGTGAGAGACCCTGCATCTATTAATGTATCGGGTGAAGAGTGATCAAGAGTGATCGAGGGAGACACCAGACATCAATCTGTAGCTTCCACATGCATACCCACAACATATATATGCATACCCTTGCACACATCATATACTCATTTACACATGCAAACATGCATACACGCACACACAGAGCACACACATACACATGTCAAAAAAAAAAATGGAGGAAAGGTTTTTGGCTTGAAGCTGCAGGGGTTTTGGTCCATGGTTGTTTGGCCCTGTTGCCTTGGGTCTCTGATGGTACAGGGTGTCATGGTGGGGACATGTGCAAGGCCTGTTCATGGCGTTGAAAATGAAGAGAGACAGGAAGAGATTGGGATCCCCAAATCCCATTCAAGGGCCCTGATTCCTCCACCTAGACTGTCTACTAAAGGCTGCTTCACCTTCCAGTATAGCAACCAAGCCTTTTAGTACGTGGACCTCTGAGCAGTTTTCTCTACCTCTAGACTCCACCAGTTTCTCTTCTGCTGGCCAGGCACCATCCCCGTTTTCTGCATAGTTCAGTGAACTTTCTAGTAGCTTCCAAGCACTGCAAAGAAAAACTTGAGAAATACTTTTGAAATTAAGGAAGGAATTTTTCATTGTTACTGTTGTGCATGATGGTTTAAGTTTGTGTTTTCGTGTAATATTTGGAAATTTATGACAAACTTTTCAATAGGACTATGGAAATTTGGATGTGATCATTTTAGCATCTGAAGTTAAGCCTTCAGAAAGGAGCTGTTTCTCAAGGTCTGGTCTCTATAGACCTTCTGTAAGCTAATATATCTTGTGGAGAGTAAGTGGAAAGGCCTGTTTTAAAAATGCAGAATCTCACTCCAGACATGTGAAATCACACTAAACTGCTTACTGTGTGACCAGCCTTGGAGATAGACCTGTGAATTAGCCTTGTCTTCCACAGCAGGCTCCATGACAAGAGCTGCCACCGCAAGTCATGGGGTTTGTTAGATTGCTGTTCTCTCTCTCTCTCTCTCTCTCTCTCTTTGTTTGACCTTCTTTGGTTTGCTGAAATTGCTCTCTGATATAAACATTGGTGAAAATCTAATCATCCATTTCTGCCAGTTTTGTTTTAAGCTCCAAATTTACAACTTCTAAGTTTCATAAGTTGTTCTTGTTTCTGCATTTTAATTCTGGACTTTTTTTTCCCCCATAGAGCTGAGAAAACAGAAGTCCTCAGTGAAGACCTGCTGCAGGTAACAATTTTTTTTCTGGTACTGAGGATTGAACCCAGGACCTTATGCATGCTAGATGGGCACTCTACCACTAAGCTATACCCCAAGCCCTCTATTTACTATTTACTTTGAGACAGGACTCCACTAAGTTGCCTGGGCTGGCCTTAAACTTACTTGGTAGCCCATTCAGGCATTGAACTCATAATCCTCCTACCTCAGCCTCCCAAGATGTGTAATTATAGCCCTGTGCCTCCAGGCTGGTGAAACAAAGACTTAAAACAATCTCTTTAAAGAAATGAAATGAAAACTAATAATAAATCCAGGACTGATGGTATAACTCTGTGGTAAAGTACTTCCCTGTCATGGACAAGGCCTGGATTCAAACCCCAAATAACGGGGGATGAGTTGGTGCTAGGACTTGGGAACTGGGGACAAAACAGACTGCGGAATAAGACTTAGAGCTCATGGGGTCTTTCTCTTCCTCCTCTTCCTCCCCTTTCTCCTCTTTCTCCTCTTCCTCCTCCTCCTCCTCCTTTTCCTCTTCTTCCTCCTCCTTAAAACTGGAATAGAATAAACTGAATTAACATGGATTTAAGCAGGAAAGGGAAGCATGAAGTATGGTGATAGAAAGGGGATCTGAAACCCTAGTGTCATGTTATGGAGTTCAGATGCTGCTAGCCCTGCTTCCAAGTGCCAGGTGTTGGGGTGGGGCGGGGCCCTAGCTTGGTAGCCTAGTCACGGGTCTTGAGCAGGCCAGGACACTGATTACTGCTGCAATGATGTTCATGATGGGACAGGCCCTGCCTGCTGCTCAAAGGTCCTACTGGTTCTAACCTAGAACTTTGACTTGGCCTTCCCACCTAACACTGTTTCTCCCCAAACCTGGGCTGCTTGAGACTCAAGGGCTTCGGCTTTTAGTGACAGTGACCAGATCTTGCAGAACTACCCTGAGGGTGCTTCATATCAGCAGCCAAGGCCTTCCCTCCCTCTCCTGCCAGGAGACTTTGGCCAGGGCCACCCTGCTCCATCCATCAAGAAGTACCTCTAACTTTGGATTTGGAGAAGGGACTGGAACCTTTATACCCTTTGTCTCCTCTGCTCATATCCTGTACAGCAGAATGCTTGGGGTGTGTGGGGGGCGGGTGAGCCTGCTCTACAGAATTTTGTGCTAGGTCTCTTTCCCTGTCCTTTTGTCTCTTAGTTCCTTAACCTTTAGCAGGTCTGTCTATCCAAGTGAGTCCCTAAAGACCGAAGGTCTGTCCCAGGTTACTGTCCATTCTTTTCTGCATAGAAAGTAGCTGGCATAGTTTAGAAAAAGGCTTCCATCACAGCCTGCCAAAACACCCTAAATTATGTCAGCCATCTGCAGGTAGAATAGTCATTTTGGTGTCTGCAGACAGCTGGTTTTAAAGATGCCCTTCTATAAAATGGTGCAGTATTTGAATTTAGCCTTATGCACATCCTTCTGCATGCCTGCTTTCACTCCTTCCTTCCCCTCCCTCCCTTCCTCCCTTCCTCATTTATTTTATGGTACTAGAAATCAGATGCAGGGCCTTGAACAGAACAGACAGGTACTCTGCCATTGAACTCATTCCCAGCCGCCCCTATATTTTAAATTATCTCTAGATTACTTGCAGGTCCTAACATAGTGTAAGTGCCGTGTACATGGTTCCTCTGTATTGTTTAGGGATCAGTGACAAGGAAAAGCAGGTGTGCAAATGCTTAGTGCAAAGTGTTTTTTCCTTAAATATTTTTGGCCCATGGTTGGCTTAAATGGATGAATATGAAAATCTATAGAGATGGAGGACCAGTTGATTTTTCTTTGTTTTTTTAGCTGGGGTTTGAACCTAGAGGATTCTAAGCCTGTGCACACTTAGAGCTATGCCCCCAGCCAAGTATACTTTTAAGAACATTTCTTGGCTTTAAAAAAAATTATTTATTTTTATTTTCTGTGTTTTACTTGCATGTATGTAAGTACAGCCATGTCATGCAATGCCTGCAGAGGTCAGGAGACGGTGTTGGATCACCTGGAATTGGAGTTACAGGTGGTTGTTCGCTGCCATGAACATCCTGGGAACCAAATCCAGGTCCTCTGCAGCAGCAGGGTTCTTAACTGCTGAGTCATTGACTGTGTGTGTGTGTGTGTGTGTGTGTGTGTGTGTGTGTGTATCTATGTGTCTGTGTGTGGTTTTTTTGAGTCAGGGTCTCCCTGTAGCCCTAGCTGTCCTGGAACTCACTATGTAGGTCAGGCTGACATTGAACTCATAGAGATCCGTCTGCCTCTGCCACCCCAGTGCTGGGATTAAAGGAGTGTGCCACCACGCCCGGCTGCAAAGTACTTTTAATTCTTAGCAGTTGAGCAGACAGCATGCAGGGCAGCAGGCTCTAAGGTGGCTCTGACAAGAACAGAATGAAGCCCAGGGACTTGTCCTTTCTTAGAACTGATGTCATCCATCTGCTTCTTCTCTCAGACTCTCTTCAAAAAAGACTTGTTAAGGAATCATATTCTTAACACTTCTTAGTTTTCATAATGCATTTAAAATTCATTTTCTAACTCCAGAAGTACTGTGTGGGCCGGTCAATCTTTTTGTTTGTTTGTTTTTGGTCTTTTTGAGACAGGGTCTCCCTGTAGCCCCAGCTGACCTGGAACCCACTGTGTAGACCAGGCTGGTCTTGAACTCACAGAGATCCTCCTGCTTCTGCCTCCCAAGTGCTGGGACTAAAGGTGTGCTCCACCACGCCCGGCTGTCAATCTCTTATTTAGGTTTTCATGTCAGAGTTTTCCCCCCTTGCCCACATCAGGTAATACATATGATCGCTCATTTACTCACTGAAGTCCTGAGATGAAGCCTGAGGCCCCTACAGCTGGTGGATGGCCAAGTCCTGGGCCCTGAGGTTGTGCAGAGGGCAGCTGTTATTGTCTCTTTGTCCACATTCGCTGGGGTATGAAAACTTTGCTGGTTCACGGAAATTACTGTTTTGATAACAGATTCTTGTACCTTGTCTGCCATAACTTTCACTGTTCTGCTGTTTTTTTTTTTTTTTTTTTTTTTTGGTCTTTTTGAGACAGGGTCTCCCTGTAACCCCAGCTAACCTGCAACTGAGGCTTAAACTCACAGAGATCCTCTTGCCTCTGCCTCCCAGTGCTAGGATTAAAGGCATGTGCCACCACACCCAGCTTGCTGTTTTTAATTTTAAGAAAAACGAGCAGTGGTTAATGGTATCTACTCTAGTTTCCAGGTCTGCCTCCAACTGCCTTCGTGGCCTCAGGGACTAGCCTCTCAGTGCCTCAGTTTTCACTGGTCTCCAAATGAGAGCTTGGCAGTCTCTGCCCCATGAGGTTGTTTCCTGGGTTAGTAAGTGAACTGTGGTCGGTCCTAACACTGGGACCAGAGAGAAGGGACTTGATTCTGCTCTGACCTCCACCACAGTGCTGCTGGCCACTCTCTGAGGGCACTGCTCGTTTTTCTGCCACCTCTTCCTGTTAAGAGCTGAGTCTTTAGTGCTGTGGAGTTGCCTCAGGAAGCTGTGTATCCCAGTAGGTGGAAATGAAAATGTATTCGCTGTTATTTTTCTAATACCTGACCCAGGGCACAGTAGTTACCTGTCCAGTGTGCTCAAAAGTTGTAAGTGAATACCTTCCAATCCTGTGAGACAGATACTGGTGTATAGAGGTACTTGGGAGAAACCAGTGAACAAAATAGACGGGCCTTGTGGAGTTGGCATGCTGGTGAAAAGTGATTGAAATGGAGATTGTGTTAGCGTTCTACTGCTCTGAAATGTGGCCACTGAAGATAGGAAAGTGCTGTGGCACACCATGCTCCTCACTGTCAGCTTGACTGCAGGTCAGGGTCCTGGGGACTGCGGCTTGGATCTGAAGAGAAACTACTTGTGTCTCGGGGTAACTTTAAAAAACAGGCACAAAACAACATAGGGGGTTATAATGCCTGGGGGTCAGAATGTATTCTGCTTTGAATTTGTTGATTTTTTTTGTTAAAATAGAAAGTGTCCCTGAAGGCTTGCTCTCATTCTTCATGAGTCATTAGAATACACATTTTTGGCATTCCTTCTCTAACAAGCAGCTCTGTTTGCCATAAACAGCCATATCCATTTTGGGAAGCTCCTCAGGATGTGTGGGTCCCTAGGCCAGTGTTTCTTAGTATTGGGTGTCTGTTCTGCTGTAGATGTCTCATGAAAAAGAAACAAAAACCTGCCCAACTCCTCTAATAAGGAGTAAGGTCTCTGACCTCGACCTTATGTTTCAGTTGTGCCGCACTGTTTGCTATACTGTGTAGGGAAGGCCCCATTGCTCATGCCTCTGGTGTTCTTTTTCCATATGGCAGTGGGTCTCGGCCTGGACCTGGACCATTCATTTGCAGTTCTGCTTGGTTGCATCCAGCTTTGGTGGTGTTGTAGTGGGTAAATTGATTGCTGCTACTCAGCTTCATAGTAAGGTGTAGTCATGACTGTCTCTTAGCTTTGGAGGGATCTAGATTGTTCGGTGTAAGGGAGACCAGTGGTTCTCAGGGAGGGCTGACTTTGCTCTTCTGGGGTATTTGACATCTTGGAGAGTAGGGTACTACTAATATCTAGTGGGTAGAGGCCAGAGATGCTGTTGGATGTACTACAGTGCACAGGACAGCTCCCGAAACCCAGTGTCAATATGAGACCCAAGTGTAAGTGATTAGGAGCCCTTTCCATCAGCACCCAAGAGCTGTAAAATCCTCTGTGGCCTGCCTTTCCTACCTCTATGCAGACACCACATACGGAAGAAGCGGGATCTGTTCTTGAGCCTTGCAAATGACTCTTTTGTCTCTACTTTGACAGATTGAACGGCGCCTGGACACCGTGCGGTCAATGTGCCACCACTCCCATAAGCGTTTGATAGCATGCTTCCAGGGCCAGCATGGCACGGATGCTGAGAGGAGACACGTGAGTATCAGATATGTTGCACAGCCATCATTCCTGTGTCTTCCTGAGCCTCTCCATCCCCTGGGTTGGCTGACTTTTTCTGCCGTCAGCAGATAGGCCTTTGCATTGGGACTTTCCATCACTCTGTATGTGTGTGCACACTTGTACACCTCCTGACCCCGGGGTTTCAGAAACCGCTGGACTGCAAGCTTTTCACCCCAGTCTTCTCCAGGTTCCTTGAAAAGACTCACTGGTGTGAGAATGGGCATGTCAGCAATCTTTTAATGGCAAAAATCTGAACTCTTATCTCAAAGTGACTTAAAAAGGTTAGAAGTAATCTATAGGCCAGTTAGCTGAAAACTCTAGGGATTGGGAAGGACTTGAGATAAGGTTTGGTCTAGCACTTCAGTGATATGACTTCAAACTCAGTTTCATTTCTTCTCTCCCTTTTGCCTCCTTCTCTAGAAAGGCATGCTCATGGTGGCAGGTTGGCTGCCAGCGGCTTCTCTGGGCATGGGTCCTAGTGTGTATCCAGAGAAGAGAACAGCTCTTCTAGTAGCTTTCTTAGCTGCACCAGGAGACTTCTCCTAAGCCTTTGGAAGTGGAAATCCCTTTGTATCACATCAGTTTGTATCCAGTCACATTCCTCATTTGGGAATGTTCCTACTGTACTCTGGTCACCATGGGCTGGGGCTGGGGGTGGATGGGGAGATGGGATGCACTAGTTGTACCAGCTGAAGCCTGGATTGTGTCTTATCTCCATCACAGGCTTTACTGAGGCCAGGGTAGATCCCTGAGAGAAATCAGCGTACTGTTGTAGAGAGGAAGGATGGATTCTGGGAGGGGTGTCAACTGTCCACTGGACATAGGGCTCTTCAGAGTGTTCCTGTTCTGAGGTGCCGCTAGTACAGCAAGCTGCCTTTGTTCATTAGGCAGTCTACCCTTGCTTTTACAAGCTCCTAGCTTATATGCATTCATTCACTTGGTTCAAGTGAGTTCGCTGGCATACCGGGAAGCTTTTTTTTGTTTGTTTGTTACCTGACATCTCAGAAGGAAGAACTAGTATGTAAATAAATATCTGTCAGTCTCTTTTGAATTTCCCACAGTTACTTATGGGACACCTGACCACAAGTGTCCTTGCACAACAGTTAGGATTCTGGAATTGTGTTAATTAAGAGCAGACATTTTCATATACCTATGGGGCCAGGAATGTCAGCCAGCCACTGTCTGCCCCGACTGCCCCTCCTCGTTCTTGCCTTGACTTCCACCTGCCTACCCTTTCGTCCTTGTCTTCCGAGGCCCTGTGCTTCTTCTGAGTCAGCTCCTCCGTTATCATGGCTTCTAATTAATGAGCTGATGCTGGTCTTCCAAACCATTTCAACCATGCGAAAAGTTCTGACTGCAGAAGTCCATTTCTACACCAGCATCAGTTCTCCTTCTGTGTTGATACTTCAATGCTGTTTATCCTGTTAGGCAAGCAAGAAACTGTGGTGTTATCTCACATTCCTTCTTATTTATCCTCCACCCTCCTGTAGCTAGCTGCCTTATTAGTAAGCCTAGTGATTCTCCCTATGAATGTCTTTTAAATTCCTTGCCCCTGCCTCATCTCTACCTTCTCCTTAATGCAAGACTTGGTACCTAGAATACCTGGACTGTGTATGGACTATTGTCGTAGTCACCCTCTGAACCACATTTCCTGTCTCTAATTTCCCTCCTTTCTAGTCAGTCTTCAGCCTTATTACCAGAGTCAGTGGCCAAGGGTGGGAAGATGCTGAATATTTTGTGTTGCTGGTAAAATAGTTGGACAAGGCAGTACCCCCCCACCCCCCAATGCTAGTGGGACCTCTTTAAGGGGCTCTGTTGGTTGCTATTGTCTGGGATAAGGTCCAAGCTCTTTAGCATGACTTAAACCCTTGGTAATCTGATCCCATTTTGCCTCACCAGCTTCTTTGTCCCTTGCTTCCTCTCATTCCCACTTCAGTCCAGCCACATAGTAACTCAGCAGTCCCTAAATATGTCACTATCCTTCACACAGCTATGTCCTGTTGTTCCTGTTGTCTGCTTTGGATGCTGCCCCGCTGTCAATCTATTCATTCAAAACAAACAAGCTAATATTTATCATACCAACAATGTACGGTTCTGGAGATAGTAAAATGAAGAAATAAAAGTGCTTGTGGCCTGGTTGAGTGTTACATGCAAATGGTTATAAAACAACATACTAAATAAAACATGCATAGGATGCTATGGGAGGGGCAAGAATGGATAGAAAGGAGGTAATGGGGCCAGAGAGATGGCTCAGTGGTTAAGAACACTGGTTGTTCTTGCAGAAGACCCAGGTTTGAATCCCAGCACCCACATGACAGCTAACAACTGTCTGTAACTCCGGTCCCAGGGGATCCGACAGCCTCTTCTGACCTCCACAGGCATTGCACAACATGGCTGCACTTACCTACATGCAGGCCGTACATGCATACACATAAAATTAAAATAATTTTTAAAAAAAATTTAAAAAAGGAGGTAATCAAGTGAGTTTGCTGGAGGAGGTAACACCTGAGATGTAAAGAGGAGATTAACGGTGGTCGTGGGACTATGCCAGCCCTAGGAGCAAAGTGCTTCATCCTAATTTCTGAAATCTGATGCCTCAGCTTTCCTCTTCCAAGCAAAAGTACCAAAGAACAGGCTCTGAGGTGAGGGAAGAAGAGTTGCCATGACAGTGGTAGAAAAGATGGGAACCCCAGATCATATAACATGTAGAGTCACTGGAGTCTCTAGGGCTCCAGGAAGTACAGGTGGAGTTCCCAAGGGCCAGAAGCTCCACCACATGGGAGAGGTGAGAATGGAAGGAAGACAGGGCAAGCAACAGCCTTCTCAGCCAAGCTCCCATGGACTCAGCAGAGCTCAGGAAGTGGGCCTTGGGAGCGCTCTACTGGTCTTTCTGTGTAGTCAGCATGTGTGTGACAAGCGGAGATCTTTTCATTTCTTCTCTGACAGAAGAGCTGTCACTCCTGGGAAGCCTGGGTCCTTCTCTCTGCAGTTCACTGTTGATAGACACACTTCATTAATAAGCTTCTTCATTCAGCAGAATTTCCTTGTTTATGCCAGGAAACAAGATCAGCTCTGGAGTCAGAGCAGGAAACTATAACTAGGATCATGAGTGACACTTGTAATACCTCCCCTCTCTACTTGTGAAGTTCTAGAGTTGAACAAAGACTGTGTTTAATCTTATGTTTAATCTCCTTTTGAAGGGCAACATACCCAAAGCATGAAGTAGCCACGATTAGACTGAGATCTTCCAGTTCTGGAAGCGTGGCAGCCAGTAGTGGTCTCTTTGTGGGGTATATCTGTCTTTGTTATAAGTGTTCTTTTTACTGAGAACGCAAAATGACATGGCATTGCAGAATCAAGCATTGTTGTATTATAACCTCTTCATGTATTCTGAGATAAGCCATCAGCCAGTAGTGTAAGGATGCTGACTGGCTCAAGCATTCACCATCATTTTGAGGACCACCCTCTAGGGCTTCGGGCCTGCCACCTCATCTCTGGTTCTGAGTTCTGTGGTCCAGTGATCCTGTATCACTGTTGGTGAATGGGCTTTGTGCTTCAAAACACTACAAAGAGTGGTTTAGATATTTAGCTAAAGGTGACTTTTAGGTTTTTAAAAATTATTTACTTTTATGTTTATGAGTGTTTTGCCTGAGTCTATGTAAGTGCACCATTTGTGTGCAGTACCCTTGGAGGTCAGAAGAGGGCATCGCATCCCCTGGAACTAGAGTTACAAATGGTTATTAGCTGCCACAAGGGTGCTGGGAACCAAACCCGGTCTTGCACTTAACTGCTGAGCCATCTTGCCAGTCCCTGAATTTTAGGATTATAACAAAATCAAGGCCCAGTTTAAGAATGTTCTGGCAGACCTGGCATGGTTGGTGCATGCCTTTAGTCCCAGCACCTAGGAGGCAGAGGCAGGCAGATCTCTCTGAATTCAAGGCCAGCCTGGTCTATATAGTGAGCTCCAGGCCAGCTGGGGCTATAGGGAGACCCTGTCTAAACAAACAAAAAGAATGTTCTAGCAAGAGTTTTTCAAATTGAGTACCTTATTGCATTTGCTTGCAATAATCATTTAGAGGGCAAGATCTGTGTATGGAGCATAATCTAAATCAAGGGGCTGAGGCTGTAGCTCTGTAGAGTGCTGGCCCAGTATGCAGGACGTCCTGGTTTCAATCCCCAGCACCACGCACACTGGGTGTAGTGGTACCTGTCTGTAATTCTAGCACTCTGGGAAGTGGAGACCGGGGAGTCGGAAATTCAGGGTCATCCATGGCTACATAGTGCGTTCACAGCCAGCCTGGGATACATCTCAAAAACAAAACAAGGTCTGGCAAGATGGCTTAACCAGTAAAGGCTCTTGCCACCAATTTGATGACCTGAGTTCAATCCTGAAAACCCATTTGATGGAAGAAGATAACTAACTCCAAGTTGTCCTCTGACCTCCACATTTGCATTGTGGCAAGCATGCCTTTCCCAATATAAAGTAAAAAACAGAACAAAATCTGAAATCAGAACTGTTCGAAGTGCTGACTTTGGACCATTTCAGATTTGGGGTTTGGGTTTTTAGATTAGGGCTGCTCAACCACTAAACACTATGCAAATATTCCAAGTCAAAAACAAAAAACAAACAAAAAAAACCCCACCAAAATCTGAAACACAGAATTCTGGTCCCAAGCGTTTTAGATAAGTGAGACCCAACCTGTATTGCACTTGCTTAATAAACAACAGTAGCAGTAGCAGTGCACTAAGCTCCCTCTGACTATTCCCCCATGTACTAGGCACATGATGTTGATTTAATGTCAGTGGTCAGCTCCAAACTAGGCCACAGGGATGAAGTCCTACAGCTCAGAACTCTCTCTTCCTTCCTTGCACAGTTTGCCTGGAGGGCAAGCCCATCAATAGTGATCAAGCAGACCATTGAGAATGGGTGTGAGATAATAAAATCCATGTTGTCTTTGCCTTTCAGAAAAAGCTCCCTCTGACAGCTCTTGCTCAGAATATGCAGGAGGCATCCGCCCAACTAGAAGAGTCTCTCCTGGGGTAAGTAAGAGTGATGCTTCCTGTGAGCCCTTGGCTTCGGCCTCTGTCTCAGTCTCGGGGAGGATGGGCAGGTGTTGTGTGTGGCAGCCACCAGAGGAACTGGGAACATGACAGGCTTATCTACCAGGGGAGCAGCTTAGACTCTGGGGAGAAAGACCCCAGGGCTTTGGGCTGCTGGGGAGGTCTTGTTCTTTAATAGGAGCCTGGCCAGAAGTGAGTGGAGAAGGAGGCACACACGACTGGCTAGTAGAATCAGGATGTGTTCTCCCAAGCTTCGGTCCCCTCCCCGTGCTAGTGCAGGCTCAGAGTTAGAACTGACTAGTCCTTCTTGGTCCTTAAGAGTCACTTCCTTTAAGTGTGGCCATCAAATGCCAAAGGGGAAAATGTCTCGAAAGGATTCTTGTTTTTTTAAAAAATACTTTATTATTTTTATTTTATGTGAATGAGTGTATTGCCTGCATGTATGTGAGTGCACCCGTGCCATGCAATGCCGCGATATCAGAAGAGGGCTTCGGACTCCCCTGGAACTGGAGTTAAGGACGGTTTGTAACTACCATGTGGGTGCTGGGAATCGAACCCAGGTCCTCTGCAAGAGCAGTCAGTGCTCTTAACTGATGAGCCATCTCCCCAGCCCCTTATGCTATTTATTTTATCTTCTCACTAACACAGATTAAAAGCTTGAAATAATCAGATGAATTTATACCTGTTGGAAAAAGTATTTCTAAACTATTATCATTTTGTCTTTTTTATGTTGCTGATTTCTAAATTTAAAGGCAACATTAAGATTAAAGACATAGAATTTCTGAATGTGGGTGTAGTAAAAAAAAAGGTCTTCTGCAAGAACAGTCAGTGTTCTTAACTGCTGAGCCATCTCTCCAGCCCTGTGGTGGTGGTTTTAATTTCAAAATTTTTATATCTAGTTTTTGTATTTTCTTTTTAAATGTATTTTTGTTTGACACATACATCAGTAGACATATCTGCGGTGTAGGGTGGTGTAGTTTGTAATGATCATGTATAGTAGTTGGGCATGTCTGCCACTTCAGACACCTTTTTTTTTGGTGTGTGTACATGTTGGGAACATTCAAAATTCTCTCATTTAGCTTTTTGAAATGATTATCAATTAGCCCTAGTTACTGTATTGAGCTTTAGAATATTCGGAGACGGTCTCCCTGTCTAGCTGCTCCTCTGTACTCAGTAGCCACCCTTGGTCCTTCCGTTCCCCTAAGCAGTTGTTTCCAACGGTAGGCATGTATCGGAACTACATGTCCTGTATAGGACTGTGGTTCAGAGCTAGAAAACATGCCTAGAATATGTAAGACCCTGGGCCTAGCGTGGACAAACATAAGGCCTGTATTACTCCAACAGTAAGAAAGCTGTTGTGAGTATCTGAAGGAAGACCTTCCGTGTGCCTCTCCAGTGAGGCTGGTGTCCACTGACTGCTCTCTCCTGCTTTGACATGGTGCCTTCTTCCCAGCTGACATGACCTTTGCACTTTGAGCCCCTTTCCTGCAGTCTACAGTTCTTTGTTCTTAGGAAAGAATAGTTTCTTCCCACTCTTCAGCCTTCTCTGTGTTATTCGTGGCCCATACTAGAGGCACTGGCACAAGGGCAGCATGTGCCCACGGAGGTATCTCTGATCCCTCCAGCCTGCACAGGTTTCCACATTTGCACTTCCTTCTATTGTTGCTGTTATCTTCATAGCGTGAGCCCAGTGCTGAATGTTCCCCAAGTATTCATTTACTTAGCCCTCAAAACAACACAGGAAGTAGGCAGTACTAATGCTCCATTTTACAGATGCGAACATTGGCAAAAGAAAAGGTAAGGAAATAGCCTGAGAGCACACAGCTACGGAGTACAAAGCCTGTATTCAAATTCAGGCTGGTTTGCTGTGATCCCATGGCTACCTCACACCACACCCTTTCTGGTACCAAAAGCATTCCACAGAGTTGGAGGAGCGAGGTGTTGAAGAAACCGGGGAAGACCAAGGCAGTGGAGTCAGACATCTGTACATGTACTTTTGGTGACATCAGCTGTGTGTTCAATCAAAGAAAACTAAAAGGAAGTATGGAGTTCATGCAGCACAGTGCTTGTGGCCCTTCCCTGTCAGTCAGCCACCTCCCTCGTCTGGACAGAAGACAGCCTGGTTTTTGTGTGGTGCTGGGAATGAAGCCCAGGCTTGTGCTTGATAAGCTGCACTGCTGAGCCAGAGAACCAACTTTTCATTAACTGCAGAAAAAGTACTGCAAAGGCTAGGCTCACTGACAGACATAAAACTGCATGTAATGAAGGACCTTTTGTATACCTTAAAAGACTTTCAGGGCTTTTGAGAACACAGTTTTCACCTGTCTTGAGAACCTACTTCTGTGAGTTGTGCCCTCACTGTTCACACCTCAGCTCCACTTACATAAAGTACAAGCTAGAGATCATCCTACCCTACTTCCCTCCCTCCGGCCTCTCGTTCTGGGGGTGGAACCCATGCCTCATACATGCCAAGCAAGCACTGTACCAGTGACCCACCCCTCCATCCCAGGTGTTTTCCTTTTAAAGCATAAATGTGGACTTGTGCTATAGGTGATACCCCACACATAGCATTGTAAAGGGTTTGTTGGGTAGTGCTCTGCTGTGTCCTGTCAAAAAGCAGGGTGCAGCCACTCGACATGACAGCTTTGGTCCTGGCATAACTAGTACATATTGTTCTTGGGTATCTCATTCCTAAAGGAAGATGCTGGAGACCTGTGGGGATGCTGAGAATCAGCTGGCTCTTGAGCTCTCTCAGCACGAAGTCTTTGTGGAGAAAGAGATCATGGACCCTGTGCCCACGGAGGTATCTCTGATCCCTCCAGCCTGCACAGGTTTCCACATTTGCACTTCCTTCTATTGTTGCTGTTATCTTCATAGCGTGAGCCCAGTGCTGAATGTTCCCCAAGTATTCATTTACTTAGCCCTCAAAACAACACAGGAAGTAGGCAGTACTAATGCTCCATTTTACAGATGCGAACATTGGCAAAAGAAAAGGTAAGGAAATAGCCTGAGAGCACACAGCTACGGAGTACAAAGCCTGTATTCAAATTCAGGCTGGTTTGCTGTGATCCCATGGCTACCTCACACCACACCCTTTCTGGTACCAAAAGCATTCCACAGAGTTGGAGGAGCGAGGTGTTGAAGAAACCGGGGAAGACCAAGGCAGTGGAGTCAGACATCTGTACATGTACTTTTGGTGACATCAGCTGTGTGTTCAATCAAAGAAAACAAAAAGGAAGTATGGAGTTCATGCAGCACAGTGCTTGTGGCCCTTCCCTGTCAGTCAGCCACCTCCCTCGTCTGGACAGAAGACAGCCTGGTTTTTGTGTGGTGCTGGGAATGAAGCCCAGGCTTGTGCTTGATAAGCTGCACTGCTGAGCCAGAGAACCAACTTTTCATTAACTGCAGAAAAAGTACTGCAAAGGCTAGGCTCACTGACAGACATAAAACTGCATGTAATGAAGGACCTTTTGTATACCTTAAAAGACTTTCAGGGCTTTTGAGAACACAGTTTTCACCTGTCTTGAGAACCTACTTCTGTGAGTTGTGCCCTCACTGTTCACACCTCAGCTCCACTTACATAAAGTACAAGCTAGAGATCATCCTACCCTACTTCCCTCCCTCCGGCCTCTCGTTCTGGGGGTGGAACCCATGCCTCATACATGCCAAGCAAGCACTGTACCAGTGACCCACCCCTCCATCCCAGGTGTTTTCCTTTTAAAGCATAAATGTGGACTTGTGCTATAGGTGATACCCCACACATAGCATTGTAAAGGGTTTGTTGGGTAGTGCTCTGCTGTGTCCTGTCAAAAAGCAGGGTGCAGCCACTCGACATGACAGCTTTGGTCCTGGCATAACTAGTACATACTGTTCTTGGGTATCTCATTCCTAAAGGAAGATGCTGGAGACCTGTGGGGATGCTGAGAATCAGCTGGCTCTTGAGCTCTCTCAGCACGAAGTCTTTGTGGAGAAAGAGATCATGGACCCTCTCTACAGCATAGCAGAGGTGGGTGATTGTGCTGCCTGGCCTGGAAGAAACAATCTGGCAGGAACTGAATAGTGAAGTGTTAATGTAAGCCCAAGCTTTTCACAGTAATCAGCAGCTTTAATGTCTTTTGGGGGAAGTAAGGGAAGTTTAATTAAAGATAGAAAAGTTTTTGCCTTAAAGCAAAACTTTGCAGATAGATATTGTCCTTTGAAGACTTCAGTTAAAATCCCCAGGTGCATCTCTTTGGTCTGTTTTTCCTTCCAGGTGGAGATTCCCAACATCCAAAAACAGAGGAAACAGCTCGCCAGATTGGTGTTGGACTGGGATTCGGTCAGAGCTAGGTGAGACGAAGCTGTAAAAGCAGCAGCGAATGCTTTATTCTCCAGTGTGTGAGAATGGGAGGCAGAGACACACCACCATTGCCCAGGCCTTTTTTCTACCACATTGCAGTGAATACTTTGAACTTTTGCATCTCAGATTTGCTTCTTGTGACCCACCTTACTCCGAAGCCATGGCACAAAGCAGCCATGGAGCTGAGGGAATGGCTCAATGGAGGCACTTGCCTGTCATGTGCAAAGCCTTGGACTCTATCCCCAGTACTGCAAAAATAAATAAGTCAATAAAATGACAGTGCATATGCAGATGCCGTGACTGCACCCCAGTGAAACTCTGTTTATAAAAACAGCTCTTGGGGCTGGGGATTCAGCTCAGTGGTACAGCACTTGCCTACAAGCACAAGGCCCTGGGTTTGGTCCTCACCTCCAAAAAGAGAAAAAAAACCCAGCCCTTGATCCGTTTCAGTTTTCATGTGGTTCTGTGCAGGAGAGAAAATGATTTTGATTGACAGGTATGCGACATGATGTACATGCTGTTTCAGCACTGTGTCAAATGCTTTGGTCATAGACTTAAAAGGTGGCTGTGGCAGTGGTACTGCATTTCTTTGTTTCTTAGAGGTCATTGAGGCATCGCTGGTTCAATCTCCACTTCCTTGGTATGGACGAGGGGGAAGAAATCGCAGCCTGTTAAATGTACGAGTCAGTTGTTAGGCTGTGTCCTGGTTTAAGAAATGACAAAAGGTCCATCAAGACATTTAATGCATAGTGAATGGATACTAGTGTAATTGTCAAGTCAGTGTCACTTTCTAGATACTTGCCACTTGCCGAATAAATCTCCAACTTTATATGTTACTCATGGAATTCCTCACTGATCTGTCCATTTGCTCCTCTTTATTTCCAGCAGATACCATTTACCTCCCACTTAGTGCTTGCTGCTAAATGCAGAGGCCCCTTGCTGCCAGATGGAGACGCAGCCAGGACTGGGGCTAGTGCAACAATCCTCTGCTTCTATCAAGAGGCTCATTTCACAGACATGGTGTGGAACCCATGTATGTTGTCTGTATGACTTGTTCCATGCCTTAGAGATAATAGGTGGCAGAGCTAAGATTCTGATGGTAATGCCTGCTGTGTGTTTGATGTGTGTAACTAGAATACCGTGTGCCAAACCAGACCAGGGATGCCACCCCTTTGCTGCCCCCCCCGCCACGCCATGCATTTTTGCTCAAGAGAAGGAAGAATGTTCTGTGGTTAGTCTGGCAAGGTAGTACATGCCCTTTGCTGAGCAATATTATAGACGTTTATCTGCCGGGACTTTTAGATTGCAGATACATGTATCCCCTGGAATATTTCAACACTGATTATCTTGTTCATGGTCTTAGTCACTTAACTAAAGTCGATGTTATAGAAACTGAAACACTTGAGTATTTCTTCTTTTCCTTTACTCATTCCTATGGCCTTTCCCATAGCAAGTGATGTAGGAATCTGTGACATGCATATCCATAGGCCTACACTCCTGCTCTCTACTTTACTTAACCCTATTTGAGTCTGCAAGGCACAGTATTCATCATCTTCACTTAACAGATGAGATTCTTGAGATGGAGAGCTTAGGCCACCAGCAAGGTCTCAGCACTAGTTAAGCTGGAGCTGCTTTTCTAACTTGACCGTGCCAGACTGACACCCTATTCTTCTCAGACTTGGCACTGACCGTTCTGCTTCTGCAGGGCAGGGCAGTAGTCTGGGAAGTTTGAAAAGTTTTCATGCTGTGTCTGTATAGTATCTGTGTTGAAACTTGAAGTATAGCAACTTTCCATGGCAAAGGGTCAAAGCACATTTGAAAACCAAAAATCATGTTTTATAGATCATTGTTCCCACCTGCTCCTCTGATGTTTCATGCTTCAGCATTGAAGGTCTGGCGTTTTATGTTAAAAGCAATCACAGGTCTCAGTAGGAAGGTGTATCATAAGGAGTCCCCAAGAGCAGGGATTTCTCAGGAGCACAGAGGGAACATTCCGGATGAAAGCAGGAGAGGAGTGATGTGCTTCATACCAAGGATTCAGAGATTGGGCACTGCAGAAAACAGGTTCCACTGATTGCTCTCCACCAGAGTGTATGTATGAGACAAGATGGTTATGCTTGGAGCCCCAAGCACCAGACAGGTCCTACCTTGGGGAACAAATAGTGTCCGTTTCTTCCGGCATTTGTTCTAGAGGACAAAATTAAAGAAAAGCAGACATCCTATTTCAGATAGTCTTGGGGAGGGCTCTGCCTTCTTAGTCCTGACTCCCTCAGGTTGTATTTGTACAGCAGGTTCTCAGGCTGGCTCTCCTTCTGTTTTACAGGTGGAACCAAGCACACAAATCTTCAGGAGCCAATTTTCAGGGCCTTCCCTCCAAAATAGACACCCTAAAGGAAGAGATGGATGAAGCTGGAAATAAAGTAGAACAGTGCAAGGTATGGGAATTCCCTCATCGGTTAGACCTTCAGCAGTCTGTTGTTTCTGGAAACGATGGGTAAAAAGTGTTACTAATTTGTATCATAATACTATGGATGACACTAAAGAGTGGTTGTTATTTTCGTCTAATATTCTAAAAAATCCAGGTAGGATATTTAAGGAGAACTTGACTTACTTAAAGAATGGAATAAAGAGGAAAAAAATAACAAAACCTATCATAAAGTTACAGTGCTGGGCGTGGTGGTACACGCCTTTAATCCCAGCACTGGGGAGGCAGAGGCAGGCGGATCTCTGAGTTCAAGGCCAGCCTGGTCTACATAGTGAATTCCAGGCCAGCTGGGGCAATAGAGAGATCCTGTCTCAAAAAAACAAAAAAGAACAACAAAAATATTTTATTTCTAAAAGAATTTTTTTTAATTCCAGAGTGTTTACATGGTTAAGTGATACTATTCTTGACACATCTAACTATGTAAATAGATGTTTATTCAAGTGTTATTTGAAGAGATAAAGAAACAGGCCTTTGGTGAATCTTGGGTCCATCAACTTGGTCTTTCCCTGTGTGTCACCTTTGTTCTAGTAGCCAGTGCTCAGACTCATGTACTTTGGCTTATTCAGGCAATGCTGTAATTCGTCCTTAAGATAACAAATGTTTACCATTAACTGAGGTTAAATTCCAAAAATAATATAGTAGGTAGAAGTTAAAATTCATCTGAGTCAACGCCATAGTTTTTTTTGTTTTGTTCTGTTATATTTGATTTTTTATTTATTTATTTATTTATTTTGGTCTTTTCGAGAAAGGGTGTCTTTGTAGCCCCAGCTGGCCTAGAACTCACTATGTAGACCAGGCTGGCCTTGAACTCACAGAGATCCACCTGCCTCTGCCTCCTGAGTGCTGGGATTAAAGGAGTGCACTACCACGCCCTGCTATATTTATTTTTATTTAATGTGTATGAATGTCTTGCCTTGCCTACATGTGTGTTTGCTTTTGTTTCTGGTCTTTTTGAGACAGGGTCTCCCTGTAGCCCCAGCTGGCCTGAAACTTACTATGTAGACCAGGGTAGCCTTGAACTCACAGAGATCTGCCTACCTCTGCCTCCCAAGTGCTGGGACTACAGGGGTGGGCCACCACACTTGGCTTGCCTGCATGTATGTACGTGTACCACTGTGTGCAGTGCCTGTGGAGACCAGAAAAGGTCATTGGGTTCCCTGGAACTGGAGTTACAGATGGTTGTTAGCCATCATGTGGGTGCTGGGAACTGAACCCAGGTCTTCTGTGAGAGCAACCAGTGCCCTTAACTGCTAAGCCATCTCTCTAGCCCCACACCATAGTTTTTATGTTTAGAAAGGATCATATTGTAGTTCAGTTGGTAGAGTGCTTGCCTAGCATGTATGAAGCCCTGGTTTCTATCCCTAGCACCACATAAATGGGGAATGGTGGCACATGCCTGTAACCCCAGCAACTGGGAAGTGGAGGCAGGGTGATCTGAAGTTCAGGGTTATCCTCTGCTGTATATCAAGCTTGAGGTACATGAGACTGCCTCAAAGAAAAAACACTAAAAGATCATTTTCAAATAGATGCTGCTATTGCAACAGTAGTGGGATAGTGGCCAGTCATGTTCAGAAGGACACATGTCCACTAGCTAAGCCAGTGTCATTTACATGGGAGTCTTCACATCTGATTTTGCCTGCATCTTGTCTTTGGATACCTATGGCACAAAAATTAGGCAAGAGGTTTGAGGAGCCTGGTTCAATATGGGGCGATGTCTCTTTCCTCAACTTCCACGCAGTTGACACCATGAAAATGCTGTCTTGTTTCCTTCTCTGCTTAACTCCTGGGCAGTTTCCTCAGGGCTGGGTGCTCTTTAACAGTGTCTGATCTGATTCACATTGTTTTTATATTAATGTCTTTAATCATTTTGGATACACATAAGTCTCTGGTAATTCTGTTTTCTGTAGTTCTTCAGAGCAGTGGGAAGTGCTTATAGCAGATTGTTTCTTCATGTGTTTTTTAGTTTTACATTGTGAGTGTATTTTGGGAGAGGCTTTATCTCTGGGGTCCTGGGAATTGAGAATGAGTGTCTCTAGACCATTTCCAATTAACTTTTCTCCCTTTAGGATTTCCTGCAGTGCAAGTATAATAAACTCAAACTTTGAGACCTCAGATAGCATGTGTTAGTTTCAAATGTCATATGTGTTTTTCTTCCTGAGACTCAGCCCAGTTCAGGACACATACACTTCTTAATAATTCCATGTACTCATGAGTAAGGATTTATTGCAATCTACCTCTTTGTTGAGGAAATAATATTTTTATGCATGATGGGTCTGTAGTTCTTTAATTCACTAGGCCCTTCGTTTTTCCCACCCAGACACATTTTTATAAATACGTGACAATAAAAGTATAACATTTTTTTCTTTCTGTTACCCAAATGACACGACACCTAAGTAATCCTCTGTGCGCTTGCTTTCTAGCAAGATGTATTGGCAATATATCTTGGTGTCTTAGTTTCTTTTCTTGTTGCTGTAATAAAATACTCTGACAAAAGCAACTTCAGGGAGAAAAGGTTTATGCTGACCCACAGTTCAAGGATATAGTCATCATGGCAGAGGAAGCGGAGGTGGCAGGAGCTTGAAGCAGCTGGTCCCATCACACCCACAATCAGAAGGTGAAAAACAAGGAGTGTGTGTGCTTGTGCCCAGTTGGCTTTCCCCTTTTGTCCAGTCCAGGCCCAAACCAGCCAACAGTGCCACCCAGAAGGCTTCCCACCTCAACTCACATAATCAACATGATCCCTACAGGCATGCCTGACATGCCCAGAGGCTTGCCTCTTGGGTGATTCCAGAGCCTGTCAAGTTGACAATTAGCACAGTTAACTCCAGCCACCATTACACTTGGATTTCCTTCCATGCCAGTCCATTAAAAAATCTTCCTGTTCTTTTAATCCCCATGTATATTGAGAGCAAGGCATGGAGGAGTTGCACATGGGTTGTTTTTTTTTTGCACATTTTATCCCTTTGTGTATTTGGGGGTAGGGGGCAGGTTGGACGACAACCTCAGGCATCAGTCCTTGCCTTCCTTCCCCTTGTGTGAGTGTGTCTGCCATTTACTGCTGCATATCCAGGAGCTGGCCTGCCTCTGCCTCCCATCTTGTTAAAGGATTGCTGAGATTACAAATGCGCACCATGAGTCCAGCTTTACCTGGTTCTGGGGATTGAACCTAAGTCCTCACATTTGTAGGGCAAGCACTTCACTGACCATCTCCCCAGCCCGAACACTCCCTGTTGGTTTTGTTGTCCCTGTTGCACAGCTCTTCCTTGGTTGGGCATTCATCTGGCTGTTTTCCTCTTTTTCATCTAAGAATCAGGGAGGTTATTCTCAGATGCTGTTTTCTTTTGCTGACTTTTAGTGACATATCTTGCCTTGTGCTTACTCAGGATCAACTTGCAGCAGACATGTACAACTTCATGGCCAAAGAAGGGGAGTACGGCAGATTCTTTGTGACGGTGAGTACCTTTCCTTGACAAAATGGTAACACGTTATAAAAATTGAGTCATTTTAGCTTTTTTGCAAGAGTTCATTTTTAGTTTTGCTCAGCCATTGTATGTCTGTCCATCCAATGCTAACGTTACTTTTGTTTTTGAATGTGGGTCTGTTCTCAGTTATTAGAAGCCCAAGCAGATTACCATAGAAAAGCATTAGCAGTCTTAGAAAAGGCCCTTCCCGAAATGCGAGCCCATCAAGGTAATGTAACCTGCGTGTTGGCTGATGCCTCTTGCTCTGCCCCTCTACCTCTGTTCTTCTTTTTCCTGACTCCTTTGCATGCCTTTCCTTGGGATAAAGCCTCTCTGCCTAGCAAGGTACCATTTCCTAGCATAATTTCATCTTTCTTGCTGCATTCTCTAATTTCTACAAAACCCAAATTAACACACTAACGGAGCATTTACACCTCTTCTGACACCGTCAACTGATGAGAAGACTGGACCCTCTGAGGACTGTGTGTGTATCTTCTGTCTTTCACTGGACAGTGTTGTCATCGAATTCTCCTTTTCCACATCCCTGCTTTGCTCCATGGGGCTGCTGTGAACCTGAACCTCTAGGAGCATCTATATGTTCTTGAAAGTCTTCAGGCTTTCCAGGAGAGAATTTCACAAATCAGCACTTGATGCCACATCAGTCTCTTACTCCATGCAGTCAGATCACAAGGTCACAAGCCACCTCTTTCTGGTCTCCCCAGTCCTTATGCAAGGCTCTTCTTACCAGCACTGCTGTTTTGTCTTCTCTGTTGAAGCACATGGCCATTTTATCCTCCAGTATTGAACTTTCCCCTGGCATTTGGTTTTAATTTGAGTATTTAGAGCTTTCTCTCCATCCCCCAAGTTCTTGCTGTTACCCCTCTCTTGTTTACCACCAGAATATTTATCAGCAGACATGAGCAGAAGTTGTTGAGGCAGAAATTATTCTGTCATCTTTGGATTATGCTGCATTTGTCCCTTGGTGCCTGTGGGGATTGGCCCCAGAACCAAAGTTCCTTATATCAAACAGCATAGCATTTGTATCCATTCTCCTCACACCCTCCTGTATGTTTTATCCCTCCATTATTTATTAGACCTTATACAATTTTAAGTGCTACATAAAAACAGTTGTTATCCTGATTGCTTGGGAAATAATAACAGAAAGTAAAGCCTTGTGTTTGGTACGGGTCAATTTTTTTCTTTGTCCTTTCTCTTTTTTCTCTTGCGATTCTAGGGTAGAACCCAAGCTTTTGTACATCTGAGGCAAGTATTCTATGTTCACAACTTTTCCACATATTTTGGTCAGCAGTAGTTGATTCTGTAGAGCCCACAGCCACATAGGGCTGAGTATATTTTGATGCGTAGACCTGACATTTGGAGCTTAGATTTCCCCTGCAGAGCTGTTGGTCTTGAGCTGAAAGGGAATCTGCCTGAATGTGGTGACCATGTGATCAGGAAAGATAGGCAAGCACGTGCTGTTAGTGAATGTGTGGGCATACTGGCTCGCTCAAGAAGCCAGCTCTTTCCCCCTAAATTTCAGGAAACCCTAATGAGTTATTCTTTGTACCTGAACGTTTTGGGATTCTAGAACTAGATCTTCTGTCTTGACTGAATGGATAGGGATCTTGAGCAACCTTAGGTACAGTACAGTGTGTCTTGTTACTTGGCTTTTTAGGATGAGCTGTCCTTATTTCCCAAGAATCCAATTTCTTGGTTCATGGATGACGTGTTAAGTTTCAGCAGCAAACGTTCAGCCTTTAAGGCTTCCAAGCAAGCCTTGCTGTCATCTTCAGAGCACTGAGAGCATTTGTGGGATGCCCAGCGTGGGTTTGGCCCTGTGTGAAACAAGATGCAGATGTTATTTTAGTGGCAAAGGTACTGTTGGGAAGAGTTGAGTAATGAGCATAAGTGAGAAGGTTGCATTTCTTAGGCAGCCCAGAGACATCCACAGCCAGTCATGGAAAGCAGGAAGAATTTAGGGTGGAACAAGGAGAGCTGGAGTGTGAGAAGCATCACAGCCAAGGTGTGCTGTGTCTCAGGTCACTCCCTCACTGCCAGAATCTGACGTCCTCACCTCTACCTTTCCTCGTACCCACCTTTCCTTTAGCCCTGTCTTTTGTTGGGTAGCCATCTCTGTTCTCAGAAAGACTCAGCCTATCTTTAGAAAAAACCATGCAGCTGGGCCCTGCTGTCTCCATGCCTGGAGGACCTCAGGACAGGCTTTGGGTGAGCTGGTGGTCATTCAGCCCCTGCCTGTCTGAACCATTTAATTCTGGGCCTCCATTTTTCTGATGGACTCTTTGAATGACTCTTCATCCTGCTCTCTACCTTCCTGCCCTTAACCCTTTGCAGTTTGATGTCTATGCCCACTCTGAGCATAGTTCTCTAAGGAGCAGCAACCTCTTTTCAGATGTTGGTATGTTACATAGCCCAGGCCAGCACTGAGCTGTTGAAACCTTCATATTCCACTTGCTGTCTTTTCATTGCTAGGATTCCACCTATCCCTGGTTCTGTACCCATCCCAACAGCCAGACTTTATGCTTCTGGTCTTCCCTCCCTCATCTCCTTTCTCTAGAAATCCCATCATCATTGTAAACATCCGTTCTCTTGGATGCTGTGCCCTCTTTGCACTCCACAGACCTTAGACAGCACCCCAAGTCCTCATACTCCAGCTGGTTTGGGTCCAGCTAGCTTTCCTCTGTATACCTGCCAGTGCCCTGCACTCTCCTCACCTGTGCAGGGGCCATTGGTCACAGTGTTAACATCCAGATTCTCAGTGCCCAGGCTGTTCCCAGCCCACTGCCGCAGTGTACTTGTCTGCTTCTTGATGCCTGTGATTCCACCTCCCTCACTTCCTGTGAGGAGCCTTCTCTGACTGCTGCAGCCAACACTGAGCACTTTGTCTCCTAATTGCGTTTACATTGATGGTTTACAACAGACGTTGCAAACAGTGAAAGAAAGCTCATTCAAATTTATTTTAAAAAATTAGTTGCTGTCATTGAAAAATCATATACTTTTAACAATTCTGACTTCTCTTTGAAAGTTTCAAAGATCTGGTAGCACCAGATGCTTTCCCCTGTGGAAACCTCCATCTGGCTCAGAGAGTGGCTGCAGCTATGGCTCTGCAGCTTGGCTTACACACCTGCTTCCTCTCACCCCCAGTATGACTGTGTTTGCCACCCTTGTCTATACCATTGATCACTATTACTCAGCAGTGTGTTCTGTCTCATTAATGGCTGTTACATGTTTGTATGTCTTGTGTATCCTTCACAGTCCAGGTGCTCTCATCATGAAGGTGGGGAGTCCTTATGAATTTTGTGTGCCTGCTGCAGGGCTTGGCACACAGTAGGCCTGTTGTTAGAAGGGCTAGCACTTGAATTGGAGTTTGTCTTTGGAACTGTGTCTAGGTCAGAAGTTCTCTGTACTCTGTGCTATTATCACACCATGATGGGTGGTAAGACATGCCCTGCTCAGTGTTTACTAGAATGTCCAAGCATACTCCAGTATGGCCACCTCTCAGTGTTATGGGGGTCTCTTGGGTCTTGTCTTCTCAAAGGAAAGTTTAAGCAGAGGTTTATAAGCAAAGTAAGGCAAGCACTCCAAAGAGATCTGGAGTGGGCTTCCCCAGAGGCTAGTGGCCACACGTGGGTTCTGTATTACAGATTTTAAAGATTTATAAGTGTTTATGAGGTAGACGGCATATTTATGGGTTAAGATGATCCTTTTCTCAGGGCAAGTTATAATGGAATGATTTTCCCTTTTAGGGTATTTCTTCGTACGATTCTCTAGAAAAGCTCATTTGGGGCGAGGGAGAGGCAGAGATGCAGACTGTTAGTGCACATGTGGGGCAGTCTCTTGGCCTTTTGTTTTTTGATACAGCAGTGACACCCTGTGTCCTTGGTTACCTCATGTCTAAATCCTTTTTAAGGTTGTTCAAAGGTTCCATGATTGAGCTCATGACTGTCAGTTAAGACGCTGTGCTATTTTTAAAATTGAGGTTTTACAGTGAAGGCTGGGGCCAGGGTTTTACAATAGACTGCACAAACAGGAAATGGCTTGGGCAGTGGGTCAGACTCCCAGCTCCCAGCTCTGCTGCTCACGTCTGTCTTGTCTGACATCAATATCTCAAGGTTGGACATGCAGTGGATTACAGGTTTCATGTGCAGAATGACCCTGAGTGCATCTCATGTCTCCCCTAAGGGAAGGGTCATGTGGCCATTTTCAGCCTGGGTTGACAATCATTGCTTTACGTAAAAGGGATAGAGTAGTAAGTTCTAGCCTTTGATAAAACGGTCACAGACCTTTTGTCTTATGGGACAGGACAGGCCCTTGAGATAGATTTTTTCTGTTAGAAATTCCCCGAAGCCAGGGCTGGGACCTGGCCAAAGTGGCAGGTGCCATGGTCTCTGTTGTCTCCTGCTTCCCTTGTCCCCACCCTTTCTCTAGTCTTTACTCGCTTGATGTTCCTATCTCTCTTAAACTTTGGTAAATCTCCCAGTCCAGTGGATTTGCAGCATTTTGTTTCCTTGCTTCCTCTGTGTATAGGTTGTAAGGATTCCTGTCCTGCTGCAGGGAGGTAACAGAAGTATTAAATCTCACCTTCCCATAGCAGTGAGACCATGTAACAAGCATCCATCAAAGGTGCTGGAAGGATGCGTCCTTGTCTGTAGCTGGGAAGGTTCATGTTTTCTCCTCAAGCTGGTTCTTTCCTTGACCTCTGATTCCCACTAGGTCTCTGCAGGCCACAGGCGGGCCAGACCTGCCAGATGCTTCATATTCTACACTGCATATCCGTGCTCTAAATTCTTCCTGACTGCTTCCTTGTGTGCATTTCTGCTGAGCTGCCTCTGATCCATGGCATCTGAAGCAGAGCCCACAACCTGAAAGTTATGAAGCAGAGCTTTGCCGCCATCAGCACAGCCTTCAGCCCAGGCTGCTGGGCAGCCACGGATACTGCATTTTTTTCTACTCAGAGGTTTTGGAGCTGTTGTAGGTGTGTTGGGCAGCACTGTATATCACATTGTGGCACCTGATTTGCCTTCACTTTGACCTCTCCAATCAGGTGCTTGACTTTGGTTTGAACTGCTAAGTGATCGTCCTACTTTCAAATGAAGGAGTCTTTCTTGTCTTCTACCCAGGAAGCCAGTGCTGCTTTGCATGGCTAGAGTAAATTTCTTTTCAGTGAACACAGTGTGTTCAAATGTAGCTTGCATTTTAGTGAACGACCACAGGCTTGACACATGTTGATGATGTGTGGTGCAGGTCCAAGGCCTTCATCATCATCTCCACTAGGCAGCTTGGTGAGGTGCTGTGTTCAGGGCTTCTGTCCCCCAGTGACTGCCCCAACCTGGCACATGGTCTGTGTTCCTGTAGCTAGCAAATGACAAAAGCATACCAGTCATCTAGGTGTTTTCCTCTTCCCAAGCTTCAGTCAACAGTGTGCTAGAGAACCCTTTGGTGGTATAGAGAGAAAATGTCCAGGAATGCATAAAGTTGTCGGATGTCTTACCTACTATTTACTGCTCTAGATAAGTGGGCGGAGAAGCCAGCCTTCGGGACACCTCTAGAGGAACACCTGAAGAGGAGTGGGCGCGAAATTGCAGTCCCTATTGAAGCCTGCGTCATGCTGTTGCTGGAGTCAGGCATGAAAGAGGAGGTGAGGGGCACCCCAGGTCTTCCCTGCCAAGATCTCTCTCTCGCTCTCTCTCTCTCTCTCTCTCTCTCTCACACACACACACACACACACACACACACTGTGCACCCTTATTACACAGCCACTGTGGGAATTTTTTAGACCCAGGGTCTCCAAACCTTTGTCCCCATGACCCACACTTTTCTCTGACACCAGAACTTTTCTGACTATAAGTAAAGTGGACTCCATAGAGAATGTACACTTGTCCTCCTGTTCTGCACTCTGACCTTTTCTTAATTCGTTTCAAGCCCTGCTCGTGATTTGGGAAATGCCCTGGTGATCCAGAGCTTCCATGAGCTCTTGTTTGTGGCAGAAGGCATCAGCAGTGGCAATCTTGTACTTGTGTAGTGCTGTATAATTTTTCTTTGAAATGAGTGCATTTATGCACTTTAGTTTATGAGATCTATACCAAAAACATCTGTATGAACCAAATAGGTCAGTTCTTATTCCTTCACTTATGCAGATAGAGGTCAGAATGCATGGAGTTCTTGCCAGAGCATAGCTAGGTTCAACATGCAAGACATTCTGTCCTTTAGAGAACTTCTGTTGATGTCTCACAAGCTTATTGAAGAGTATATGCATCATAGGTGAACAGCATAGTGAATTTTCATGGATAAAACTTGCCCATCTAATCTACCCTAAATCAAGGAATATCCTGGAAGCCCTTATGTTCACTTCTAGTGCCTGACCTCAACCTCTAAAAATCTCGTCTGTGCTTTCCAACTAGTGTTGCTCTTGCTTCCCACGAGAGTAGTGACACTTTTGACTGCCGCTTCCCAGGAGAGTAGTGACACTTTTGACTGTCACAGTGTCCTTTTCCCTGCTCTGCCCCACCCTTCTCATCCCCCTGCTTGTGATGAAGAATCACTGAGTCTGTAAAGTGTTGGGTGTCAAAATCAAGAAGCCTGCTTGGGTTCCCATATTTCCTGGCCCACTGTCCTTTATATACTTGCCTCTCTTGGTTGACTCCCCAGATGTTTTCCTTTCTTTCCTTAAAAAATTGAACTTAAGTCAGAGAAAGTGATATATAGCCTGGTCTAAGTTTTTCTTGAGATGTTAGTTTAAAAAAAAATAACAAAATGTGTAGTAGTCAGTGCTGTCAAGTAAAAAGGCTTTTCCGTAGAGATCTGAAATGCACAGTACTTTAGTACGGAGTCAGAGCAAGAGCTGCTGCTGTGCTCCTCATTCCCTGAAAAACCACTGTGAGTTGGGCAGCAAGGGTGTTCTTACTGACAGAGGCAAGCTACAGCTCCGTCAGACAGCGGTTGCCCAGCATGGGACTCAGCTCTAACTTGATGCTAATGGCTTTTCAATTGTCTGTAGGGCCTTTTTAGAATTGGAGCTGGGGCCTCCAAGCTAAAGAAGTTGAAAGCTGCTTTAGACTGTTCCACTTCTCACCTGGATGAATTTTATTCAGATCCCCACGCCGTAGCAGGTGAGCTCTCAGGAGTGTGTACAAATCAAGCTGTGCTCAAAGTGGTGAGCAAGTGAGTCCTGTCTCAGATCATTAGCTAAAAGAAAAGTTTTCATTCGAGATTTAAGTGGTAAAATGAAATGCTCTTCTGATATAATTCCCTAATGAATAGTGTCGTGTGCACACACATATCTTTCCTGTCTCCCTGTTTTATCTTCTTCCTGTCACTCATTACTAAGAAGTGAAGATAGCTTTTCATGCCGTGTTTTAAAGATATACTTGTACTTCTTTGCCTCCACACCCGTGACCCAGGTCTCCCTAGAGAAATGATACATGTATTAACAGACAGACCTTAGAGCTAAGTTTATTTTCGATTGCCTACTCAGTGTATTTCTGCAAGAGTCTGAACCTCTGAGAACCTATGAGATTTCGTTTCTAACCACTGCTGCCAGTTATGATCCATTCTGCACACTCTAGAGATTGTAGTTGAGAAAAGTTCAGTTTGCAAAGCACTGTGCCTTACCCCATTTCATGCTCAAGGAGTGTTACTGGTTTCAGGTGCTTTGAAGTCCTATTTGCGGGAACTGCCTGAACCTTTGATGACTTTTAGTCTGTATGAAGAATGGACACAAGTTGCAAGGTGAGCTGAAAGCACCCAGAGTCTTTGTTTTAGTTGAATTTTTGTATATTTTATACATAAAATTATCTTTGTACCTCCTTCCCCTTTGGCACTGTCCTATAGCCCCCCACTGGCATACATACATTCTGTCATTTGTATTAAGGCCTGTTCTGTAAAGTTAGTGCCCTGAGATGTCCCTCAGTGCAAGTTTATCACTAAGGGGTTTAGTCATCCTATCTAGAATCTCTCTTTTCAAGATCAGCTCTTTCTCATCCAGCAGTAATCAACTGCCAATAATTCTTCAGCTAAGATTGGGGCTTGCTGTTCATTTCCACAGTTCTAGCACTCAGAGTCTTAAAAGTTCAAACACACAATGAGCTACTTCATCCCATTTCTAAATCTTTTTTGGGGGGAGCGGGTGTCTTTTCAGGCAGGATCTCTCATAGTCCCAGCTGACCTCAAACTCACAGAGATCTCTCTGCCTCTGCCTCTCAAGTGCTGAAATTAAAGGCATGCACCACCACACCCAGCTTTATTTCTAAGTTATTTTATTCTCCAGGACCATGGTACAACATTAAAAGACTGTGTATATGCTGGGCCTGGTGGCACACACAGCTTTAATCTCAGCACTCTGGGGGTCAGGGACAGGTGGATCTCTGTGAGTTTGAGGCCAGTCTGTCTAAATAGTGAGACCCTAACTCTCACATACAAAAAGCATGTACATAAAGAATGTGTGTCCCAGTTCTATCTGAATTTAGAGGAAAAATATAAAGTAATATTAGTGTAGGAAGGTCGTGAATTACACAGTTGTTTAAACTTGTATGATTTGTTTGCTTGGGGGTTTTTTTGTTTTTGTTTTTTTTTTTGGTCTTTTTGAGACAGGGTCTCCCTGTAGCCCCAGCTGGCCTGGAACTCGCTATGTAGACCAGGCTGGCCTGGAACTCACGGAAATCCACCTGCCTCTGCCTTCCAAGTGCTGGGATTAAAGGCGTGTGCCACCACGCCTAGCTAAACTTATATGATTTGTATGATTGAAGATGCATAACCCACATTCATGGATTGAGGGATCTCAGATCCCCTTTATGGTGAAGACTGTCCTGTAACTGGGGACGAAAGTTATACGGTGAGTGGATGGCCGTGTGCTGTTGCTGCATGCAAACCCAGCTGATCAGTTAGAACAGGAATAGTCTTAATAGTAGTATTTTGGGGTATCCAGTGTTGCTGAGTACTGTGTTAAGCTCTGCCCCTGCTCCCTCTTGCCATCCTTAACAAGCATCCAGAAAGGCACATATTCTAGATATCTTTGTTTTACAATTAAGAGAACTGGGGCTTAGGAAGGAACTGGGCCGAGGGATTGCCAGAGCTGGCATCCAGATCCTGATGTGTCTTCTCCAAAGGCTCTGTCCACTCTTTGTCCCTTGTTGTCCACTCCCAGCTTCAACTTGGCCTAGGAGCAGGACAGCCTTACTTCAAGAGCCAGCCAGCTTGCTTCCTTGTTGCTATCTTTTCACTTCCTCCCCTAGATGCCTAATTCCTCACTCCTAAGGAAAGAGGGACCAGTCTCACTTCTACTCCTGTCCATTCTCCCTCTGGCTCACCCTGTCACCTTTCTGTCATACCATTAGGCTGTGGTTAGCTGTGAGCCCTGTGTGGTGATCAGTTACACTGTTTCCCAGACATTGCAGCATTTGTGGGGAGACTTTCTCCCTCACAGGTGCTAAGGTTTTTAAAGTTCAGGGATAAGTTCTTAGTCTATCCTGGGACTGAGTTAAATGAATCCACAGTCCAGCTCAGATGGTGACACTGGGGTTCTTATTTTGGGTAGCCTCCTCATCTCAACTCTCCTCTAGGTTCTAAGAGTCTAAAATTCTTCCTGAGAAAGAAAAGGCCTAGCAGAGGAGGTATCTGTCTACTGGAAGATAGATTCTATAGTTGAGAAATGTCAACATGGCCTCTGTCCTGCAGAAACCACCATGCCCCACACTTGACACCAGGAGACAAGACACCACTGAAAATTCTGTCTAGGAATGTGTCCCAGTTAAATAGTAAGGTAGTTTATGTTTGATTCCAAACCTATTTATTTCCCAAATCAGTGCTGTCTTCCAACTGTGGAAACAGAGACAGAGGTGGGCATTACTGTTAATGAGGAATATGTTTTAGTTAGCTTTCTACTGTATGAGAAGTTCCCCTCATGACAAAATCAGTCTAAAGGAAGATGGGGTTATTGTGGCTCATGGTTTCAGAGGTTCAGTCCCTGGTCCTTTGCCTTAATGGTTTGTGATTGGGCTGTGCCATACCTTACAGCAGGCAATCATGGTGGAGCTGCGAAATAGAGAGGCAGGCAGGGGCTGAGATCCTAACGTTCCCCTCTGGGCCATGTGCCCATTGACTCTAGTCTTCCAACTAAGCGTCACCCATTTAGGTTCTACCACTCCTGATGGTGCCACAGACTGAGGACTAAGCCTTTAACATGTGGGCCTTTGGGAGACATTTCAGATCCAAGCCCTAATAGCACAACAATACAGGTATTAATAATACATATGTTAATAAATTCTTGTACATAATTTTTTTTTCAGTGTGCAGGATCAAGACAAAAAGCTTCAATATTTATGGACAACATGTCAGAAGTTGCCACCCCAAAATTTTGTTAACTTTAGGTATGTATGATGGTATTCTGTGAGTGAAGCTGCCCTGTCGCAGCAGCCCTGGCGTAGACATGTTTCTCTGAAGGAGGAGACCCTGGCTCAGGCGTGTTTAGCATTCAGAAAGCTTCTTGGAATAGTGTGGGGCTGTTGGGATGTGATCAGTGAGCATTGTTATGTAGTAGATGTAGGTGGTGTTAGTGTGCAGGTGATGTTAGCATGTAGGTGATGATGATATGTAATGATGGTGATGTGTATGTGGTGTTGATATGTAGATAATATGTAGGTGATATTAGTATGTAGACAATATTGGTGTGTAGGTGATGTTGATATGTAGGTGATATTAGTATGTAGGGTGATGTTGATATGTAATGATGTAGGTGTATATATGTAATGTATGTAGGTGATTTATTATGTAGATGTTAGTATGTTGGCGATTCTAATAGGTAATGATGTTATATGTTAATATATGTTAAAGTGTTCTGATCATTTTACCACTGCAGCTATTAGCAAAAGCATTCTCATGAAAAGTTGGGGTGGTTTTGTGTTGTTTGGAGTCTGAGTTGTCTTGTATGTATGTAAAATGAATCAGTAGTTATAGTTTCTGTGCTGTCTTTCATATAAAATAGTGCAAACCAGTCTACTCTGGAGATTGTATGTTACTGCCTTACTCAAATATATTTCCAAGAAAACTTCCCGTTGTTCAAACTTCCCTTTGTTTCCCCTTTGACTCTGTACCTTTGAAGAGGCATGGAGAAAAGAAAGGGAAGATAGCCTGGAGAGTGAAGTCAGGTAAAACCAGACAAGGGGCTGGTGAGATGGCTCAGTGGGGGAGGCACCTACCACCAGGTCTGCCAACCTGTACCCACATGATGGAGCGAGAGAACCAAACCCTGCAAACTCCTCTGATCTCCATAGGTGCACACACATGTACACAAATGAATAAACATAATGAAAAATGAACTTTTAAAACCTAACGAAAAATTCTGAGGACTTATTTTAAACTACTTTCCAGGCAGTAGTCTGAAGTATTAGCTGACTTCAAGTTCCATCTCGGTCCATGCTGACCTCAAGTTCAGTCTCTAGTCTGTGTCTTTAGCAGATCTAACATTCCCTTCTCACATCTACAGGATCTACTTCACTCTGAGTGGGTTGGTATCTGTAATATCCCTCATTGATGAAGTGTAGCACGCCTAGCTTCAGATGGCACACAATCTAAATCTGTTCAGTGCATTGTGAGAACTCAGTTATTCTTTGTATGTTGGGGTTTGGTTTTTTTAGTTTGTTTTTTGCAATTATTGGTAAATAATTTTTACCAATTAATTGTTTTAAATCTGAAGTGCATTCCCATGGTTCAGAGTTCAAAGGGTATGCACTGAAAAGTCTCCCCTGTCCCCAGCCACCTAGCTCTTCCTCAGTATCTATCGCATCAGCAGGAGCCAATGTGTATGTAGGAAAATGCATTCCTATATGCATATATACCTTTTTCTATCTCACCCACTTTTTAAAAAAGAATGTCTTTGTTCATTGAGAACTTCATACACATATACAATGTATTTTGGTCATGTGTAACCCATCCCCCACCAACTTCCCCTAGGACAACTTTTGTTTTCAGCCTAAATGGTAGTACACATTGTACACATCAGTCTCTCCATTGCCTTCTTTGATTTATGTCTTTGCTTAAAACATCTTGGAGATTTTCCAAATCAGTACATAATTTTTATGGTTGTGTAGTATTCCACCATGGATAAGGATATAATTAATCTAACCAGTTCCTTGTTGATAGCTAGTTGGGGGGATTCATAACACTTTATTTTTGTACTACATGCATATAGTATCATATGTCTATATGGTAAGTTGAGTGTATTCATAAATAAAATGTGTTTTCAAATACAGTTTCCTTTTTATAACTATTTGTATTAAAACATATATTGAGTCTTCTGTTAATCACAGTGTAGTTTTTTAGGAGTAAGAGGTTATAAAGGAGAAATCAAAGTATATAGCGGAGAAGGCTGAATCATTGTGGTAACTTCAGAGCTGTTTCCTCCTCTCAAGCCTTCATTAGTCTGTTTAGAACAAAGTACATGAGATATGTGAGTAGTGCATCATGTGAGCCAGATCCTGATTCAGGGACACTGCCGCGAGCTCCCAAGTGTTGTTGCTGAAGCCCAGGGCAGGGGAGAAGGCTCCACAGATGTGCCAGAGATGCTCTTGTCCCTTCTCTTTTGCCTCCTAGGTATTTAATAAAGTTCCTGGCAAAGCTTGCCCAGACCAGTGACATTAATAAAATGACTCCCAGCAACATAGCCATTGTGCTAGGCCCTAACCTGCTGTGGGCCAAACAAGAAGGGTAAGTGATCTCCATTTTGTGTTGTTTGCGTTTCTTCCCACCTGGTGGTAGATAGAAGTCATGAGACACTGTCTAGCTTCAGGTGACTTCAGGGTACTCTGAAGTTGATTTTTCCATTCAGCTGACATTTCAAGGACAAAATTGTCAGCTGGTTGTTATCTCTGATAACAGCAGATGGCACAAAGATGCAAGAGACATCATCCCTGTCCTCAAAAAGCCTCCATTCCTAGGCAGCTCAACCTTTTGAAGCAAGTGTTTTTCCCTCAGAGGAGGATGCTAAGTCTGAAAAAGGACCAGAAATTTGCTGGAGATTGTACAGCCAGGCAGTGGCAGACACCCTCTCATTGCCGCTGGTCATCTTTGTAAATAAAGTTACTAACAGTTCAAGTTTCCATTAAAATGCTGTGACTTTTTGAATTAGTCATTCACTCACTCATGTATGCCCAAACTTGTTTAAGAATAGTGTGATTGTACAGAGATTCAGTATTATAAAGCAAAATTAAAAGATAAGTAGATATGAAAAGTTAACTATATAGATCATCTCTCTTATAGCACATAAACCCCAGGCTGACTAAAGACTTCAACTTAGAAAATGATGCCAAAAACATGGCAGGTAAATAGATATTTATTTTTATTTATTTTTTGTCTTTTTGAGACAGGGTCTCCCTGTAGCCCCAGCTGTCCTGGAACTCACTATGTAGACCAGGCTGGCCTTGAACTCACAGAGATCTGCCTGCCTCTGCCTCCCAAGTGCTGGGATTAAAGGCATGTGCCACCACGCCTAGCAAGATATTTATTAACTTTAAGGGCAGAGCAGAATTTTCTAAGAAAAAATATCATAAAAACAGTGCAGGGCTGGTGAGATGACTCTGCAGGTTAGAGGTGCTTGCTGCCATGTCTGACAGTCTTAAGTTCAGTCCCAGGGACCCACATGGTTGAAGGAAAGAACTGACTCCTGCAAGTTGTCTTCTGGTCTCCACATACATGCTGTGGCACACATGAGCACATAAAAACACAAATTTTTAAAGTTTTTTTTTTTTAAACAATACATTTAAAAGTGAGAGACCTGGCTTTCTAATACCTAGAAATTTGTCAGAAAGCACCATAAACAAAAGGCTAGGAAGAAGTTCCTCAAAATCTCCGGAATATGTGAAAAACAGTTTTATGAATCAAGAAGCAGTATCTCTTTAAAAAGAAAAGTTGGATGACACCACGTGATCAATGTCTCTGGTCCAGTGGAGTGCTAGAGCATGGAAATTGATCAGCACCCTTGCTTGAGGAAGGCTAGGAAGGATGATTTGCAAACAAGGGCTTTCATTCAGCTGGAATTTAAAAGGAGCCGGACCTTTCATTTGGTTAGAAAAAGGGCTTATATAGTCTAAATGGGACAGAGGTCAGAGTAGGAGAGAGTTTAGTTTGTGGCAGTCAGTCCTGAGAATCAAGCTTCCTAGGGGTCCAGTGTCTTTATTTCCAGAATAGGTCACTATGTGTTGTTAGACCTTTCATTACGTGACCAAACGCCTGAGAGAACAACTTAACAGTAGGAATGGGTTTTGGCTCATGGTGTCAGAGTCCCAACTGGTCCCATGGCCAGAACTGAAGGGTAGCCAGGAGCATGTGCAAAGTAGTGTTACCCCCTTCATGGTGAACAGGAAGCAGAGGACCAGAGAGGAAAGGGCCAGAGACATAATACTCTTTAAAGGCATGCCCCATCACCACCTTCTCCAGGTCCACTTCCTAATACTGCCAACAAATTATGAATCCATCATAATCTATTAGTAATCCATTGATTAGGCTAGAACCCTCATTCCAATCACTTTCAGTAATGGGATCCACTACCTAGGGACAGAGCCTTAAGCACACAAGCCTTTGAGGGATGCTTCCTAACATGCCGTGGTGAAATCAAGTCCATTGAGAACCTGAAGCTTCAGAGGTGCTTAGTAGCCATCTGGCACTCTGCAAGCTGCTTGCTTTGGTGGTATCTTGACTCCCACCAAGGATGAGTTTGACATCAGGGATAATGATTAACTATTGTCTTCTTCTTGAGCCCTGCTATCAAATCCTTTGAACTTCTGGACTCTCATTTTTTGACTATACTAACTGTCCATACACCCAGTAACATTATAGGCAGCAATAGTTTGGGGTGATCTTGAGTCTACCTACCAGGTATTATACTGTTCCAGTAGGAAAATGTAACCCTTATTCTAAACCAACTTAAGACCAACTTTGATAACATCCTCAGTTCATGGTGTTCCCACTCCTGGGTGCCTGTGCAGGGGATATTGATTATTACTGCCCTGCAGAGGAAGGAACAATTGGTCTGGTCATTTTCCTTCCTGAGCCATCGCTGGCAGACTCATAGGAGTCTTGTGGACTTAGGACCTTGTAGATTTAGTTTTTGTATTTGTACTCAGATGCTTTATCTGTTACCAGTAATTGAGCTACCCTGTCACAGGGCAGGAATTCAAGCCTGTGTAGGTAGAGTGTTTTAATTCTTGTGACCTTGCTTGCAGAACGCTGGCTGAAATAGCAGCGGCCACATCTGTCCATGTGGTTGCAGTGATTGAACCCATCATCCAGCACGCAGACTGGTTCTTCCCTGAAGGTAAGCACTGTTTCTGAGTCATCTGTTGCCAAGACAGTGTGACCCCAGGCAGAAGCAGGCGGATCTCTGTGAGTTCAAGGCCAGCCTGGTCTACATAGTGAGTTCCAGGACAGTTGGGGCTACAGGAAGACCTTGTCTCAAAACAAAAACAAATAAAAAGAATAGAAGAAGAAAACACACCAGTGGTCACATAGTTGGTTTCACTTTCTCGCACTTCCCTTCAGATTTCATTCATTTGCATTTGTAGTTTGGTATAATAATCATCATCATATTATTTTGTGTTTCACTAAGACATATTCAGACTATATAGTGAATGCCCACTACTTGCTGTTTGCTGGTAAGACACTATTTGCTCTGAAGGAACTCCGTTCCCCAGAGAAGGTAGCCACATAAACAGATAAATTATAGCCTGTGGCAAATTAGGAAGTTGGATGGATGGAGAAAGATTTGACAAACTCGGGTGCTAGCAAGAGGTCTGCTTTTCAGAAGTGATGCTAGCACCAGACTTGGTGGCACATGCTTTTAATCCAAATACTCAGGAGGCAGAGGCCAGTGGATCTCTGAGGTCAAGGCCAGCCTGGTCTATATAAGCAGGTTCCAGGCCAGCCAGAGCTACAGGGAGATACTGCCTTAAGAAAAAAAAAAAAAGATACTATGTGGGTCCTCTCCACTTGGAAGAAGGTGGCTTTTTGTAATTTTTCTTTTGTTTTTTACTCTGTAGATTGTCCTTTGGGTTGTGCAAAAGTAGAGAATAAAGTAGGAAAGGTTAGGGTTGGTTGGGACCAGTTTCTGAGGGTCTAAGTTGGCTGTGTCAGAGAATGAGGATTTGATTCTAAGGCTGGTGAATTTTCCAGTTACTGTTGTTAGCATCCTGGGATCCACAGAGGTTCCCATGGTCTCCTCAGAGGTAGCTAGTTGTGTGTGTGTTGAGTCCACACTCCTGCCCCTGCTTTTCTCAATCCAGTCCAGCCACCCAGTAAGTTCCTGATGCCACAGCTGGGCCTTCCTGACCGCAAGAATCACAATTCATTGATGTTGCTCAGTAAAGATGCAATGAGGGAATGAAGATTGACATTTTGCCCAAATTTCCTTTGAAGAAGTGATTCTTACAAAAACTACTATAGCAGTAAGCCCTCAGTATTTCTGCTTATTTCTGTTTTATAACAAAGGGACCATTTCTGTCACCTTTGAAATGATTCAGATAAGTTCCTAATGCTCCTTGTCCTCTCGTGAATTCTCATTTTTCTTAAGAGCAGAAGAGTTGTGTGCTTACCTTCTCAACACCCTGTAACTTGCCTCGGCTTCTCTTTACCTCCTGCTGGGGTCAGGATCCGTTCTCAGAACAGAGTACTTGAGCTGCCTTTGCGAATAGGGAGGGCTGCAGACTAAGAGCTAGGGTCTGTTCCAGTGGGGTGTTATAGAGCTTCCCACCCATGTTCCAAGCCTCACACACTTGTTCATTTCTTTTCTGACAGAGGTGGACTTCAATGTATCGGAAGCATTTGTGCCTCTTGCCACCCCAAATTCTAATCACTCATCCCACACTGGAAATGACTCTGACTCAGGGACTCTGGAGAGGAAGCGGCCTGCCAGCATGGCGGTGATGGAAGGGGACTTGGTGAAGAAAGAGAGGTGTGTGTAGAACTGGTCACTTTCACAGCAGCTGTAGGCATCATGTAGAAGGTAGACCCCTGGTGTCTGGTACTGGCGTAATGACTTCCTGTGCAACCCTGACCGACAGAGTCCAGATAATTCAGGAACCATACTGTGGGACCTTACAGGTGTTAATCTGACTATGGAGTGAGGATATAACTTGTCTGTCTAACACATCCGTGCCATGTGCATCAGGCTTTACCTGATAGCCTGTGGTATACTCCACAGTAGACTAGCTTCACACACACTAGAAATCCACCTATATGTATTTGAGTAGCGGAAAACAAGGGGGGGGGGAACATAATGAATGAGCATGGGCTGTTGTTGAGGATGTGCAAGAGTATCCTACATCCTCCAGTGAGGTATGTGGAGACATATTTTTGGCATTACTTGGTCCTACCTTAGAAGCTAACTGCTGAATCCAATGTTCAGCTGGAGAAGCACCAGAATTGTACAGTTCTACAAGGGAAAAAATGAATGTTGGACTTAAGAAGAGGTAATATGTCTTCCTGTTGTCTATGGACAATTTATGGGGTTTTCAGAGGTAATTAAGACTTTAGGATTTTTGCCTTCAGAGGGCAGCCTATTCTCTGTGTGAGGAAAATTCCACCCACTCATAGTAACACCAAGTGAAAGCTATGTGAAGGAGTGAGCTTGCCTTCCATATGTGTGATATCACTGCTAGACTAAACAAGCTCTTAACGACCCAGTCTTGAGTGGAGCTTTCAATCTAGCAAAGAAGTCCTTACTTTCCTATTTGCTGAGATTTGCATTTCTTCTATGCATTTCCTGATGATCTGTCCATAACAGAATTAGTCTTCTATACTGAAGTTACAGTCTGCAGTGTTTCAAGTCTGACTAGCACACAACACACAATTCTCAACTATCTGTTCTCCCTGCCAGCTGACCTAGTAAACATCAGCACATATGTATATATAGTTCTCAAGTCTATGCAGTACTGGGCTTGAATGAAGAGTGTATTCTTTCTGTCCCATCCTCCAGACGCCATCCTCCCAAAAGCAGTCATTTTTTCCAGTCGTACGTAGCCTTCAGATATATTCTCTGTGCACACGGGTGTTTCTGTATCTCATCCAAGTTCAGAGGCGGTGTGGTGTGATCATACATAGCCACCAGTAGCGTGTGGACTTGGTTTCCCTCTCCTTTCCCAAGCACAGGTTTGAGATGGGATGCAGACAGTAGGGAAATCAGCACACAAACACGGTGTCATTCAACACAAGGTCTGGCTATTTGCTTTCAGCTGTGCACATCAAACTGATCAAGGATGTTGGTCAGTATGAGTTCATTGGCATTGCTCAGGTTTAAAGCCAAGTCTAAATGCTCGCTTTGGTTACAGGGATGACCACTAATATGGTCCTTGCCACTTCATTGCATGCTGGGCAATGTGGGCAGCCGTCTCCATGTGTGGTTTTAACCTGTGAGGGCCAGCGGGCTTCTGTCTCGGTAGTTGGCTTGCGTGGTGTGTTGACTGTTTCTTCTCTCTGTGTAGCTTTGGTGTGAAGCTTATGGACTTCCAGGCCCACCGGCGGGGTGGCACTCTAAATAGAAAGCACATATCCCCTGCTTTCCAGCCACCACTCCCGCCCACAGATGGCAGCGCCTTGGCTCCAGCAGGCCCAGAGCCTCCTCAGAGCTCTAAGGCTGACAGCAGCTCAGGGGGTGGGCCTGTATCCTCCTCTGCAGGCATACTGGAGCAGGGGCCAAGCCCGGGCGACAGCAGGTAAGGAGCCCACTTCTGGCAGTGAAGGCAGGTGCTTCTGCCTTCTTTCAGGCCATAGCCTTTGGGCACAGTGTCCATGCCCAAAGAATCGCGCTGGCGGGGAGTGAGCAAGATTTGCTTTTACTCCTCCAGTTAGGAAGGAAAACAACAACAACAACAAAACCCTACAAATTGCTTCTTTTCCTTTTCAATTTTCAAGAGAAAGACATGCTTGTTTGCATTCTTTCCTGTGCTGCTTTGGTGATGGAAAGTAAAAGCTAACATGTGTCTTTGATCATCTTGCCTGTTCAGTGTGTAACTGCAGTGTTTGTGCCTCGCCTGCTTGTTGTCACTCACCGTGCTTACTAGGAAGCATTTGAATGCAGTGAGTTGTCAGCCATTTGCTCATTCGCCAATTTAATTGAACCACGCAGATTCACCAAGTAGCTGATACGTGCCTGGTACCATGCCAGGCTCACTGGTGATAAAAGGTCCCTCCACCCCTCAGATCTTTCAGTCTCACAGGGAACTGCTGCATGAGTACAAGAAAGAAAGTAAGACGGCATGCTGTTTTAAAGAGGTTTCTTTGGTTGCTTAAACTGTTGATGAGCACCTGGGAGTTGGGCTGCATGGTAGAGCGCATTTAAGAGACAATTTTGAGATCTTCATTTTATGATGTTCATTCCATTTTCTACACTGATCGGGCAGAGACCACTTCAGGTGACTTCTCTGGTGGTTCAGAACTGGGCTCTGTGAAAGATGAGCCCTGCCAGAGGGCATGTAAAGTTTTCATTGTCATTTGCTATCTGCATTTTGGCCATCCACAAAGCACCAAATGTTAATGTATAAGGTAAAATAAGTGTGCACAGAGAAAAACCTATTTACTCATGCAGAAAAAAATTTGTTTTCCTAAAAGGTGAGATTGCCTGGGGAGAACTGTTACTGCATCTTTTTGGCAAGAGTCTTACAGTGTGAGAAGTTGTTTATAAGATAGGAATCTGTCTGGGCCTGGCAGCACAAGCCCAGAATTCCAGTTACTCAGGAGGATCACAAGTTCAGGGCCAGCTTGGGTATTAACTTAGTGAGAACTTGTCCCAAAATGAAAAAGAAAGGGAGGGTTTGGCTTAATGGTAGAGCATTTGCATAGTACAGTATAAGGCCTTAGGTTCAATCCCCAGTACCACCGAAGGAAAAGAAAGACCAGGAAGAGATAGGGTTTTTGTGCTGGGGCAGCAGCTGAACTCTGAATGCTCTGTACATTCCTGAGTCGTCCTGGACTCCTGTAATCTGGGGAAGTTCCTTCTTCAGGAAAGAAGAGTGAGGCTTCAGTCATAGGGCTTTGCATGTATGCTGAAGGCGCCATACTGGCTGGTCAGTAACTGCTGCTCCTTACATGTTCTAGGGTAATTTTTTTGTTTGTTTCAGAGAAAGTATAAGAAAATTTACACATTTTAATTTCCTCACAAGTCTGCCTAATCAAAGTTAAATATTTAAGAAAGTAGTTGTCACTGCAGAAAGACGAATGGAATGCCAACCACCAGTCTCCTTTTGTTTCTATGCTCTAGATATTTTTGTGTATTGTTCATTGATGGTATCCTCCCTTTGGTGGCCTTGACAAAGTCACTGTGACATTTGGTATAGAAAGTTCTGAGCCAGGAAGTAGGAAGGCTGATCTCTCCTGTCAGCTCTAGGCCGATTCAGCAGCTTGCTTCTGGGAGTTCAAATGACGAATGATAATCGAAGACTTTTTAATGTGGAGTAGTATTTTGCTATTGTTGAAGGCAGAATTTTGTACAGTGTCTATGTAAAATTCCCAAACCCCTTTCATAAAGGTTCTTAAAATACTGCCTAGTTTAAGCACAAGCAAAATAGAGTGTGAGATTTACTGTGGATGCTCTGAAATGGCCTCTGCTTTGGTATTTTTATGGCAGAGTAGTTGAAGCTTAGTCTGATGTGACGAATCTCAAAAATATCTAGTCTCCACCAGACATGGTGGTGCACACCTTTAATCCCAGCTCTCAGGAGCCAGAGGCAGGCACATCTCTGCAAAATCAAGGCCACCCTGGTCTACATCGTGACTTCCAGGCGGACTGAGATTAGAGAGACCCTGTCAAAAAAAAAAAAAAAAATCTAGTCTCTGAGATTAGTAAATATTAGCCTGTTGGCCCAATGTGAACTATTTAAAATTCAGATAATCTCCCTGCTGAGGTAAAAACTAAACTGTACATGGGTCTGGGTCTACACAGTCCCCTCTCCATATCCCTGAGCTCTGTATTCCATAGATTCAACCAACTATGGTTCAGAATGATTTTAAAAACTGTTTATGCACTGAACATACAGATTTTTTTGTTTTTTTGTCATTCCCTAAAATACAGTGCAACCAGTTTCCCTAGCTCTTCCATTGTATCAGGTATTGTGGCGATGGAAGAGATGATTTAAGGTTCTTGGGAAGATGTAATTAGGCTATGTTCTAATGCTATGCCATTTCGTATAAGGGGTTTGAGCATCCTTGAGTTTGGTATCTGTAAGAAGTCCTGGAACTTTGCCTCCCAGGATACCAAGGGATGACTATATGTTGTATATAGTATGCTTAGCTTTGCTTCCAGGAATGTCTGGCGTCTAACTTCACTTTTATTCCCCTTAGTCCTCCAAAACCCAAGGACTCAGTGTCAGCAGCTGTCCCTGCACCAGGAAGAAACAGCAGTCAGATGACCACTGGCCCAAACCAGGCCCAGGCAGGTGGCAGCTCCCATCAGCTCTCAGTAGGCCCACCTCACAGTGCTGCTGGTCCCAGCCCTCACACTGTGCGCCGTGGTAAGTGACCTCTGGCACCTTGCACTCTACACTCAGGGAGGGTGTATGAACTTCCTTTAGTTAATGCAAGAGTCAGTTATGAGGCTCTGAGGCAGATCTTTTCCATGACTGCTACAAAGTGACAAGTGGGAAAATCAGTCATTAAAGACAAAAACATTGAAGGAAACTGAAAGAAGAGAAGAAAGGAAGCTTTTACAAATCCTTCACTGCCACAGCCTTGTAAAGTCCAAGTCTGGGAGTCAGAAGGTCAGAAGACAGCCTCTGCTTTGGGCCTCACCTTCTACTTTGTTTGAGACAGGGTCTCTTGCTGTTGTTCTGCTGTGTACTGCAGGCCAGCTGGCCCGAGAGCCTCTGCCTGCATCACGCCATAACACTGACATTGCAGATGTCACTGTGCTGGCTTTACATGGATTCTGTTCTTCATGTTAACAAGTACTTAACCCTTGAACCATTGTCCCAGCTCCTGAACTTCTTGATCTAAATTTAAAATTTTTTATTTTTTAGTTTGTCAATCTCCCCAAGTTCTTAGTGAACTGAGCTCTTACGACTGTGTGCCTATTGCAGAGAGGGTACTCAGCAGGTCTGGGGCTCTGAGTGCCTCATGGGTCCAGAAAAACTAGGAGTAACTTTGTCCCCACACCCAGAACATTGGTTAATGTCTAGAGATGTTTTTGGTTGTCCCAATGGAGGGGGTGGCTATTGGCATCTAGCAAACAGAACCAGGGATGCTATTAATCCTCCTGCTACACACAGGATACTATGTTAATAATGTAACCCTTCAGTGCTGAGGTGGAGAAACCGTGATCAGGAAAGGAACATTGTCCTGGTTTGTTTCTCCATTGCTGTAACAAAACACTCTGACTACTATCAACTTGGGGAGGAAAGGGTTTATTTAGCTTACAACTCCCAGGTCGCACTTCATCAGGGAGCCCAAGGTAGGAACTCAGGGCAGGAACCTGGAAGCAGGAACTGGAGCACGGGCCATGGAGGAACGCTGCTTACCTGGCTTGCTTCCCTGACCCCTGCTCAGCCTGCTTTCTTATGCAACACAGGCCCACCTGCCCAGGGGTG